TCCCCACCCCCTTTACCTCCCACCCACCCCGCGGCTGATGCGTGTGCGAGGTACGAATTCAATGTTGAGAGGAGAAAATAAGAGGAAAAATAAAATGAGTTTGAAGGAAAATAAAATGCGTGTGTGCACATGCCCCGCGAAAGAGACCACGACCGGCCCAGTTTTCTTCGGCGCGCGTTTCCATCTACTTTTTTTTTTTTTTTCTCCTCTCTTACTCCTTTATCTTGCGTATAACAAACGGACACACATCACCTGTAGTAGGGATGTGTGGTGTTTGACGTTTGCCGGGTATCTCAACCACAATTTGGGCCATCAGGTTGGAACGTTAATTTGTCAGTAATGAGATGTCTTTCAGAGAAATAAATGATATGTAATTGCTCCTGAGAAATTCCACGGTACCAGCAGCAGTGCACCTGAAAAGAGAAAAGAAGAAATGATGACGGTGATCGACTGGTGATCGACTGATCTGCTCCCCCGAAGGGAGTCAAATTACCTGAAATTATTGACCTGAATAAGGAATTTAGCGGCGGTCTGGTCAGGTGCAGTGTTGCGAGACAACATAGTAGGGTAATGCACACACACATACACACACACACACCAATAGTTTGGTGATGCCAAAGGTGTGTTTATCGCCACCACCATAACGCCTGGCGAACTGAAGGAAAATTGAAATAGAAAGAAAAAAATGGAAAAAAAAGGGAGGAGGAGAAAATGAAAAAAATGAGTACTTCACAAACCAACTGCATTTCTCAGTGTGTATAAATGCCCGGGCACAACTGAGATCCGCACGCGCGCATAACCCTCTCGCTTTTCCCGTTATATTTCTCGAGCGAAGCAACCGCGCCCGTAAAACCTCATCGCGGTGTGTGCCGTAATGCCGCACGTACTAAGTAGCCGACACATAAGGGATAAGACCTCGCGGTATATTGCCCCGGAGCAAGGTGCACATGCACGATGTATTATCCCATTGGATCACAGACTATCTGCTTAGAAAATACAAATTCTCATTGGTCATTCAGCTCATGAGTATCTTGTAAGCGACCACTGTGTGTACTCAACTCTTATCTCCTCAATTTCACTTGTCTTGTGCAAGACCCTCTGTCTCCCACCGCTCTCTTACACCTGGAAATTCCAGTATCATTGAGGAACTCGAGGGGAAAACAGTTGTACGAGAGATTAAATGACTTACATATGTAGCACAAGTGGAGAAATAAAGCGGTGATGGGTGGTGGAGGGGGCAGGGGGATAATTGCAATACGATTATTAGCGACTTATTGAGACGTTTGTTTCGAGATCACGACATTTGCTGAAATTATCTTGGGGATTTAATCTATTGGCCATTATGTCGGTTATCTCGGTTGACAAATAGTCATTTGCCACGATGAAGAGGGGGATAAGGCAATTGGGTGGAATTAGTACACCGAGTGTGGAACTCGGTACATAGAGAACTCTTTCACCGCTTGAATTTATCGATCGATAGATCAATCGAATCAATCGTCGTATTTACAACGTCTATAAAGTGATTCGCATTGATGGAAAGCCCCTGGGGAATGGAATAAATAGCCGCGAGTGGTTTTGATTGGTATTTGGTCAGGCCTCGATTCTCAATGGATTCCGTGTGGCTTTTCGATCATTGAATCTTGCCGCCGGGGTGGAAAATCCTCAGGAGATGGCTAAACCACAGCCAATCCACTCACCCACTTCTCCACTCCCTATTTTTTTTTTTTTTTCCTATTTTCTCAACAGTTTCATTATTTTAGCCATTTAATTTTCATTCTTCAACGGCGAGAGAGCTCTTTTACACTGTGTTGTTTCAGCTGTTTTATTCACGCCCATTAAATAACGATGGGCGGCCTGAGGGCACAGTTTAAGATTCAACCAATGCATACTCACTTTGGCCTTCTCCAGTCTCTTAAATCTCTCGTACTTCTCGCTCAGAGTGTAAATCCAACTCCTATATCCAACTCCCACCGTTCAACGCAACACGTGACATTACGCGGTACCGCCAAAGGTTGTTTATGGCACGTGGAGTACTTGACTATATCCACCATTCACCATTCGCCACATATCCATCCCTACAAAAATACCACAAATTCCCATCTTATTTATTATCAATTTACTTATAAGAGCATTAAATCCACTCATTGATTTATCCCACCCGTTTTAGGAACCAGGATGCGGTGGATCGGTTACGTGGCCACGATAATCTGGTGGTCGAGCGTCGCCAGGTCTCTGAGCACGTTGAATCGAGGTCACAGTCAGTATTATTCATTTGAAATTCATCATTTATTTCAAGCAATGAGAAAATTATGATGATTATTTTAATGGACTCCCTTGTCGCCCACAAGTTCCACCTAGAAAGACCACCCAAAAAGCTGGTGGTGCCAGTGAGAAATCCTCGAGGCAGGAGAGAACGGGGAGAAAATTAAAATAATTGAAGGATGAGAGGGCAGTTTAACTCATGGAGTTGTTGGAGACTCCATGAGTCATTCTGCCGGTGGGGACCATGTGCGTTCAGATAAATCCTGTGGGCATTAATTTCGATATGATGTTATTATTTACAGGCTACAAAATAAGTCCGAAACCCTGTCGTGTACATCAGAGTGTTGGTGGAAGTATACAGGGTACTTGTATGTTCGTCTGGGAGTGCATCAAGTCAGAGGGCACACACGTGGGCGTATGCGTTGATACATTTATGTTTGGCAGTTGTTGTGTTCACAAGAATGACACCATTACTCCACATACAACCACTGATAGCAGTACCACACTGGGCCATCACTCGTTGTCAACGATATTATCATCTGTATCATCAGTGACTGTTGAGCCTTCTAGATTATCAGACACTACTTTAAATATTGCTGCAACATCGAGACCCGGTGGCTCGACTCAAGAGTTGACAGTCAGACCTGTCAGGCCTATTTATTCAGTGAGTCATACTAATAGGCCCAAGAGGCCTTACCCACAGTCCCATGATTTTCAATCGTCACCGGCTAGGCTTCCGGACGATGGAAAGAATCAAATGGTCGATGAGGATGAGGTGGGCAATCAGCGGATAAGACCCGGTGATTTGTATCTCGGGGATAAACCCGAGAAAACGGCATTTACCAATGTACCTCCACCTCCACCACCACCACCACCCATTCCACCGGCTACTAATCAGCATTATTCTAATGAGAAAGAGGAGGACAATGTGATCACGAATGTGAGTAAAATGTTTGCATTCAATTCGTTGTTGAAAGGAGGTGCAAATATACATTACAATGTTGTACCGATCGTTGTGCAAAATCTTGGCTTTTCTGTCTTTCAATTGTTAATTCAATTGCATTTGAGAAATTTGCAGATAATCGGATAGATTGAAACGTATTAATAGGACATATTAATCATTTGAATAAAACAAAATTTATTTCCATTGACTGAATTGTTTCATCTACAATAGATGAATTATTCTCTCATTTTTTTTCCACGTTAAATCATTAATATACTGTTGAACCACAAACGATAACTAATTCCTTTGTTATCGAAAGAGCTCGATCGATGGGAATAGAGAAAATGAAATGACGCTCTGGTTTCATTGACTCAATCGAGCCAGTAATTTCACCACAAATTCAATTGTCCCGATGCATGAAAAAATTCAATCTGCCCTGAATCAATTGTCTCAATTCCATATTTAATGCCCGACCGATTGTTTATGAATTCGCCAGGAGACGCACGGTGATCCTCTCACCGCAGCTAGTATCAATGCAATACGCACCGAGAAACCACCGGCTCACTGGTTGATCACCAATTCACCATCATCGAGCATTTACTCGAGCCTGAAGACACCGACCTATCGTCCTGGGACAGTGTTCGGCCATTCGGCCTCCACCGAGACAAGACCCGATTTCATATCAAAGCCCCACGATCAGAAAAAACCGAGTAAACTGTGGACAACATCCAAGTCCACGTATCTCCAGACTGATCACACAAGGTGAATGTCTTTTAACTACTTGCTTACGTAAAAGCAATATGGATCATTGAGATGAGGCTGTAAAATCCAGTAATGACGGCCTAGAAGCCATTTACAAGTTATAAACTCCATTTTCTCCGCCCGAAGTGTTAATAATTAATTCTTTCCCACACTAAATAAGAAGAAAATGGGATAAAAAGTGGAACTAATGGTTGTGAATCGGTTGAAGTGATTTAACGATCTTGAAATGTCAATCTAGTTGGCGATATTAATCCGTAGCAAATGGATAAAATTTATTTTCAGTACATCAACGGAATCATCTCTTGGGCAAACAACCCACTGGCACGTAACGACAGAGCCGGCATTCGTGACAAAGCAAAAAAATCCAGGCCATCCATCATCCCCGAGTCGTCCTGGCTATCCTGTCGGGCATTTTTGGGGGGATAATACCTGGAGCCATCCCCCAAGTGAGGAACGACCGTCATGGACAGACGATCGCAACACCAATGGAGATACCGAGGAAACCAATAAAAAATACTCAGACAAACATCCAGTCAGCGAGAATCACCAGGTGAGTTATCACGCTTTTCATTTTTTTTCAAGCTTCCTCATTCATCCCATTTTACCTGACCCTCTTGTTCCACACTATGACAGCCGTTGTGTCGATTAAACCATGAAAATCATGTAGTTCGCAACGCTCGATCGATCCAATACTTTCCAATTCCAACACACCTGCAATTGACTCTTTTTTTTTTTCTATCCTCCCTCCTTCCGCCGCTGAATCGACAATGACTTTTTACCTTAGCACGCCAACTCTATTCTCGCTTTATCAAACTCCTGCATTACCTTTTTTGCCTCATCCTCTTGTCTTCACGCGTAACACGTTACGTACTTTTTTTCCATCCATCAAATGTAGCAGCCCAACGCTTTCTCAAAGATCCGTTTTCTCCCGTATTTAGAACAAACCAGGATATGGCAAACCTCATTATATCCCGTCGAGTCATTACATTACGACTGCGGATGTTGGATCACTGACACGACCAAAACCAACGAGAAGAAGAACACCCCAGCCACCCAGAGTCGTTGCAACAACGATTTATCCAGTGAATAATGAGTTGTCATCGATTGCAATGACAACAGCTATGAGGACGACATCATCAACGCCGAGAACAACAATCTCTACGACAGTATCGACAACAGTATCAACGACAATGACAACAACAACGACAACTGAGTCAGTGATACCTAAGAAGAGCCCATTGGGATCCGTTCCAACGGTCTCAGCTGTTCCTGCTAATTCAGAAAGTGGTAAAGAACGCGCCCAGTGCGGTGTGCCACCATTATTTCCACGTCCAGAAACGCGAATTGTCGGTGGAAAAGCAGCACCATTTGGCAGGTGGCCATGGCAGGTATCCGTACGTCGGACATCATTCTTTGGTTTTTCAAGTACTCACAGATGTGGTGGTGCTGTACTAAATGAGAACTGGATCGCAACTGCTGGACACTGCGTTGACGAGTGAGTTGGCATCATCAATTACAAATAAGGAAATGAAAAGTTTTAACATCTCGAGAGAGATTGAAAAACAAAAAAAAACAATTCAATGAATTACATCTGCCAATATTTTTTTTCTCTGCTTTGTTTTCTCTACTCCTTCATTTTCAGTTTACTGACCTCGCAGATTAGGATCCGGGTTGGTGATTACGATTTCTCATCTGTACAGGAGCGTTTGCCTTACGTAGAAAGAGGTATTGCTAAGAAGGTCGTACATCCCAAATACAATTTCTTCACTTACGAATACGATCTTGCTCTTGTGAGACTGGAGAGTTCCCTCGTTTTTGCCCCTCACATATCACCAATATGTTTACCAGCAACTGATGATCTTCTTGTTGGTGAAAATGCCACTGTCACTGGGTGGGGAAGACTCAGTGAAGGAGGTACATTGCCCTCGGTACTTCAGGAAGTGAGTCAACCTCATAATTTTTTTTTTACTCTTCACATCCCTCAGATACATATCTCGTGTATCAGTCCGTTTAAATATAAACAATTCATCATCTATTTTTCTACAGGTATCTGTCCCTATTGTGAGTAATGACAGATGTAAGTCGATGTTCTTGAGAGCTGGTAGACATGAATTTATACCCGATATATTTCTGTGCGCTGGGTATGAGAATGGAGGACGTGACTCATGTCAGGTAAGGATTTACTCGATTGAACCATTATTCTCCTGGTTGTCTCTGATAAATTAAAAATTTTCCAATCTCTCTACAATCTAGTCTATCCCATTTACTCAGTGCAGACCGAAGGAAAATACTTCAACTCGCACTGAAAAGCCAAAAGAAGAGAAAAATAATACCTATTTACCTTTTCAGGGTGACTCCGGTGGCCCTCTGCAAGTTCGTGGTAAAGATGGTCGTTACTTTCTCGCTGGAATAATATCCTGGGGTATCGGCTGTGCCGAGGCTAATCTACCGGGTGTTTGCACGAGAATCTCCAAGTTTGTTCCCTGGATCCTCAAGAATGTCACTTGAAACTATTTAAATAACTACACCGAGAAAAAAATGAGCGATCGAGCTCCCGTTCGACTGTACAGACACTCATATACATAAAACGAACAACAATAAAGCGAACAAATCATTACTGCATATAGAATATATTTAGCACATAACGATCAATCGAACGGAGACAAATTGAAAAAAAAAAAAAAAAAAGAAATCACGATGATTCATAATATATTCGCGTAGCTCGTAAGAATCAACTCTTCATTAATTTCGTGTTTATATTATGGTCTCTGAGAGTGTATTCGAATGAATGAGTTTATCGCAGCTAATGAAGAAAAATAAAAACGCGAATGGACGCCAAAGCTAGTGAACAAAACAGAAGACGATATTTTCCGCGAATTGTGTTGAAAGAATACATCTCCCTGATGGATCCACGAGGTAGCCAGTATCTTGCCTCCTCGATTGCCCCTTGTATACAAATAATGCTACAAAACAACAAATAGCCAATATACACTACTTTGTTGATGATTTTCAACTGTTCTTAGATTAAAAAAAAAAAAAAACAAAATGTGTACGCATACATTAACTATTATTCCTGCTCCTCCCTTTCCTCAGAGGATCCTGGAGTTGAGTGGATCGTCGACTCTCCCTGCGATCAGTGCCACCGAGGTCTCAGTATCAACAATGAAAAATAGAAAGGGACGATCAACTGTGAATGCAATTGGCTCCCTGCTATGCAGATAATTCTCTGCAAAACGACGAGTGATAAAAAAAAAAGAGACAAGGGAATTAGTCAACAATTATAACGGTAACAGCGATTAAATCAAATTGATTCAGTGGTTTTAACCGAGAAGTGTCGAAATACATCTGGGAATTGTCATTAGGGGCATGAAGACCAATTGAATTCCAGGATGGATTCACTGGCTTTTGTGTCCTCGTAATACTTTATCATTCAGACAAGGTCTTTCCTACTTTTGTATACTGGTGGTGTACAGTGACTCAGTGACAGGATATCGACCGTTAAATGCCGCGGGTTTTACGACAATACTGAGAAAATTCTTTAGATCCTCACAAATTGCGGGAAACAATGATAAATCGCTAAATGCCCACTTCGAGTTGTTTTCCCGAAACGAACAACGAGTCATTTTGCAGGATTTTATTTTTATTCTTTACCTGTCTGTTGATAAGGAGAGCGAGGGGTGGAGGGATCTGTGCTGTCGTTTCTTCCGTCTCTCCCGTAATTTCTGATATTAACGCCGATACTCTGTTGCACATCCCTGGCGTAGATCCCCAGGTCTGAGCTCATGGGGGTCAAGTCAGCCGCTCGTGGGTCGAATGCATCTCCTATCCCCATTTTTTGAAGGTACGGGGTCAGGGTGATGAATCCTCGGAGCATGAAGGAAGGAATTGTTGCGCGGATCCAGGTGGACCTCATCGATCCCCTGATCTGCCTCAGGGTCTTTCCCAGGAGAAGCTTCCCCAGGATTCGACTGTTCGAATGCTCCGTGGGAACCAGCAGTATAACGTTGTACCTTGGATCCTTCAATAATTTTACTAATATCAACTGAGTGTTCAGGCTTTTGGGAGTAAAATGGTCTTCGGCATTTCATTTAATTTCAAAAATCCAGGACAAAGTTATCGTAATGATTCTCACAATTAATTACCCCCCATCAAATTACTCCATCACCGAGATATTTCAATGATTGCCTTCATTTCCCGAATCGCCTTGCGACCATTCTACCTCGCATTTACGTGAGTACATAAATGAAATAACACTAACATCAAGTGGAAATTCAACACCGAATGCCCGTACGGAGGGAATATAAGCGAAGGGTAGAACCGCAGTGTAGGAGGCAGTGGATATCGTCGACGGATCGCATCCATTGACGAGAAACTGTAAATCCGTCATATCCTCATTGATGAGAGGTTCGCCAGAAGGTCCAGAGGGATTGTACTCCTGCCAGCCATTGACTTCATCAATCCAGAGAGGCTCACCTTCAACAGAAAAAATTCCCTTGACACCGAAAAAGTATTGAACTCAACAAATTACAGAGTTTCTCAATAAAATCACCTGGATAGCTGGAAAACCTCTGGCTCCCGATACTCCTCTTCTTCCTAACTTTATTCTCATCATTAGCAGTGATCCCTGCTGATTGACTCATTCCCTCAATAGCATCGATAAGTGCGAAACCCTCAGTGATAGTTTCCGATGATGAATTAACTGATCCCTCACCAGTCATCGTTGAATTACCAGTATTATTCAAATTACGCAAACTCGTTTCGCCAGCAGATCGTGCACTAGTGTCATTTCCAGCAGAATTATTCATACCCTGTCGACCAGGTCCTGTGGTAACGAGTGTTGCGGTATCAGTCACGTTTAATACCGACGCTTGAGAATTATTAATCGCAGAATTATTGCCCAATTGACTGGAAGAAGTTGAATTAATTGCTGGAGTGCTGATAAGAGTCGTAACCATGACACTATCGGTCCCCTGATTATTCGTTGTTGAATTACCGCTATTTTCGGTATCTCCTGTAGTCGAGGTGGTGGTTTGGCTGATGGGTGTCGTCGTGGGGGTCTCGGTTGTCCCGTTGACAGCGGATATGGCAGCCAGGGAGGCGTTGCTGGGGCTAGGTGAAATTAATTCAACCATGGGATTGATGGTTGTGTCGATGGAAGCAGCCAGGTTAGTCATCGCCGGAGGCATTGGCGCAGTTACCATCATCATCGATGATGTTGAACCTGTGGAATCGGTTACACCTGTCACTGGTCCCGGGGTTGTCGTTCCATTATTGTCAGCCATTTGTCCTGCAGGTGTTGTTGGTAAATCGGTGGCGTTACTGTTTACGTTGCCCGTTGAATTACCCTGATTGTCACCCACATCGAAACCGTAAAACCTCAGTGTGTCCTCGTACTCCGGTCTTAATATGATATCGTCTCGATTGAGAGTGAGACCCCCAAGAAAGGCATCGGCGTTTAGGTAGCTCTTGGAAGTGAAAGCGAATAGACAATAAAATGAAATTCCTCAATTCTTGGAGAATGAGAATAGGAAAAAAAGAAGAGGAGTAAAAAGAAGTTGTTAGTGTTTTATTTGAGTTTAGCAACTGGAGTAAATGAACTCATTTCGCTTACTCTCAGCCTCCGGTGAATGTCACGAAGTCCGATCTCGGTGACTCGGCGATCTCGGGGCAGTGCTAGAACTTGGGCTATTTGTCTCGTTGTACGTCCTGCTGAACCCTCGTACAAGGCTGCTAGGACAAATGCCAGTCCCGTTGGGGAAAATGCGATGTTACCGGAATGCTCCATGTAGCAGTCGAGAAGTTTAACTCCGAGATCGTTAATAACGTCCGTCATGATGTTCACTGGACGACCTGGAGGTCTCGAGGGTGGACCAACTGACGGCCGCCAGGGAACCCCATCTCCCAAATTTAAAACTCCCACTGGATAAAATTTATAACTATCAATAAACAAATTTCTCTCACAAAAATACCCTAGTACAAATTCCAATCGAGATTCACTCGAAATTCGATATCTCATTATTTCCTTATCGATTACTTCGAATGGAAAAATTGAATGAAATTATTCATTCAACGATCGAAATCAATATTTTTTTGATGCTCCAAACAAAAAAGGGCAAACGAGGCGATTTTTCCTTTCTCTGATGACCTCATCGTGGGAAATGATTAATTATTTATAAACTCACGTAATAGGGTAATTACAAGCCACACGTTCATTATCTTCGATGTTCGAATGTGATGGGGCGAACGGGGCGTCACGGAATCCGATGGGTAAAGTTAACTCTCGTCGAATATAACAGAGACTAAAAGGACTTTTCATTCATTAGGAAGTTGAAAATGAAGGTGATGGAGTGCAGAGGTGCAAAGGGGGAGGTGACAGATCGAAAGAGGGTGGGAGAATGGTGCAGTAGACGCTTGAGTTACCTGAGAAGTTAATGCTTCAATGTTATGTAATATTTCGTTTGGCTTTTACCCAGAGTGTTCAATTCGCACGCGCTGTTTGTTTGGCTCGCGAATTACAGCAATCTGACGCATTACGACGATTTGAATGAGAAGTGTTCGGAGTCAGGCATTAACGATTGTCTTATAATTCTACATCGCTTCATTTATTTTTCCTGTTTCCTCAACAAATAATAGATGGAACTGATTCCTATTCGACGAACGGTTGAATTAGTTTTCGCTCCTTGGCGAGTTGACGGTGATGACGGACAAATTCGTAACCGAGAATCAATCCGCTTGCGATGTATCCCAGGATGAGGACGAAGAAGATCCCCTGCATGTCCTTGAGGTCGACTTTATGATTAGCTGCTTCGAAACCACCCATTAGGCTGTCCGAACAGCTGTCACGCGTTGGAAATCTGTTCGCGATCCACTTGTCCATTAATCCTGACTCGTGCATTCTTTGCAATCTGGAAGATATCAAATTAATTGGCAAATTCATGTCAAATTAATTACTACCTCACTGATTGCCTCAATACATTTAACTAATTTTCACTTACTGAACATTGATAAGATCGAGATAAGGACTGTCCGAGGATACTACCATAGAAATAGGTTCCTCGAGGAACAAGACATTAGTCCCGAGGGAGAAAGAGCAGCAGCCAGTCTCGATGTAGTCGTTTCTTCCGGAAATCATCAGCGAAGTCGTCCAATCAATCACCACATGCCTGCGATCCTTGATGTTCTCGATATTGTCCCGATAGCTTACGGTGTCATGAGTTCGCGCATGTGGTTCGTTTTCCTTGAGAAGTCTTCGGTAATCGAGGAGACCCTCTTCCAAGCTGACGTCAAGGAAGTCCTGGAGGAAACTCCCCTCTGGAAGACTCCAGGTGAGTTCAGCTCGACGCTCGATGAGATCGTCGACGTTATCTATCGATGACTCCATCTTTGGGAACGTGAGAAATGCCACGAGACTCCCGGAGTAGGTGGCAACGACCACCATCACAACGAGCCACCAGGTGCCAACGACCAGTCGAGCCCCATCGGTCTTGGGGAGGTTCATGCCACCCTGTTGAAGAAGGGCACCGTAAATGTACCAGGTACATCTTGCTGGTGAACTCAGGCCGACGTAGAGGGGCTCGTGAGGATTCTTAACAGCTTCGTCGATCGTTCTGGGACTGAATGTGTGAACGAGGTACAATACCGGTCCAACTATTATTATTGCTGTGACCAAAAGAGCCCATGACTGCATTTTAATTAAAGAAATAATAATCATTATTTATTCAACGATTATGTTTTTAACGATTTTTTTATTGAATTAACTTTGGAAAGGTGCACCAACCTCAGAGGTGTATGGAGAAGCGAACAAAAGTGCTCTGGATAATGGTTGGGGTTTGGGAGCTAGTAGTCCGTATGTTTGAACAGTCAAAGGATGTGTAAAATTTATTGTCGGATCTTTTCGATGAATTCCAACTGTATAAGCGCATGCTGCTATGAAGACAGACTTTGATCGCACCAATTCCGTCACTTTTTCCGGTGTTTTTTCTGCTGCCGACATGGAAGCTTTCAGGGGATTCTGTAATTTTTATTTCATATCCTTCAATTCCATTGACATCCCGTTTTAATAAATTGTTAAAGTGCTATCAATAATTGACCTACACTTTTTGCTAGAATAATCTCAGGTGGAGCTTCAACCACAAAAATTTTATACGTGAAATTGAGGGTTTTAGACAGTTCATGAAAAACATCGAAGATAAATCCATCCCATTTACTCGTAATCCCATCAGTTCTCGCCATTTCAAACTGCCATGGTGGATTCTGAAAGGAAATTCTCTCAAGCTCGTGGTATTGCTCTCACGAAAGGTAAATAAACTGACGTGATATGTTGCCACAGGTAGAGTCTTGCCCCGAAAGCCGTGAATTGCATGTGGGAATATATAGTCCTTTGACTCGTAACCGGGATCAGGTGTCCACACACCGGTCTCCAATAGTGTGTGAGGCTCAATATCAGCCCCGGAGCCAATCTGATTACCCCAGGTCAAGGCTGAAACCACGGACCACTTTATACATCGGCTGCAGGTACTACCGCGACCACCGGCTTTCGTATCATTGTAAAGTTCATTCTGGAATTTAACGAGATTTTATTTACCCCTGCTAAAAACCCAATCGAAAAGGCAATTACACTAAATTACACTCGATTTACTCGAAGATATTTAATGATGTTTCGACTCCTGACTATTTTAGTGAGGCCAGCTTCCTCGAACTCTTCCTCTGTCACACGATCGTAGAGCTCAATCTCCATTGATAATGATCTTTCCAGGGCAATCCCCAGGGCACCGATCATCTCTCGAGCGTGACAGGTAGCGCCTGTCTTTTAAAAAATTGAAAAGACCAGGTAAGGTCCTGGGAGTGATTAATCTCAGGATTGACAATCAGAAATTGATGAACAAGTTGGTGGCGATAGAAAAGACGATTAATTACTCACTCGACAGGATTGATCGCTTTGAATATTCAAATTAGTGTCATTATACAAGAAAGCGACGTTTTCACCTTCTCCGAGTAATTCAACCAAGTAAGTCACGTTCCCAGAGGTGTACTGAGCCATGTCTGGCACAACAAAGAGCCATTGGCTGCCTGTGTTGAGCATCTTCAATGATCTGGCCTGAGGATAATTAATTGACAATTTCAGTTTTTCTTTTTCAATCGACCAGCAATTCTCACCGCATCCAGGATTAATGGAATAATGTCATGAGCGGCTACAACGATGAATCTGTCATCAATGGGTTGTCTAGGAGGGAAAGCTCCGAGGATATCCATAATTATCCGCTTTGTAGAAGTTTCGGATTTTCCTCGTTTCATGAAATAAAGACTGCTCGATGCTAAACCGAGGTCAGAGTTTGGTAGCTCGTTGCAGAAGGCTTGGACCACTTTCCCGATCGAGTCCTGTCCTGCAGGAAGTATCATGGATCGAGGAGAGCAATGGAAATCTTAAAGACTAATTAGATAAAATTTTTACCGAAACTCTCGTCGAATAGCAGATTGGCTCGTCTCCAGGTTAGACCATGGGCTATTCTCATGTCATAAAATATTTGAGGAAGCTCTTCTCCGGGGTCTATGAGTGGAACACTGATCCCTTCCTCTGGAGGCAGCCGGGGACAATCTAGATCTGTTAATGATTTTTCGGTCACTTGTGTAATTAATTAGCCATTATTTTTCCACGTACCAGTAATTGCTAAATGCACCAATTTTTCTTTTTTGGCTTTACTGAATAATTCCCACGTGGAGGGACAAGTCGCCACCGACAGAAGTATTGTATAATCTATTAAAAAAAAATCGAGTGAATGTTTTAAAAAATTAATTATATTATTGAATTGTAATTACGATTATTATGTACATAGTCGCAGGGACATGATCGCCATATTTTTTTTAAACGACAGTTGTTTAATTCAACAGACAGAAGGTGCGGATTAACTACCGACTGAAATCGTGGGGGACCCCAGATAAATTGCATGTTCATTCCTGGGGAAACGCAATGAACTTGAAATTTATGTCGATGGATACACAACTCTTCTGGCATTCAGCTCGCAGGGGAAAACGCTAATTGAATTTAATTCAGAGAGAAGAACCTCAAGAGATTTCGGGTTGCGCGATGAATTGAAAATCTTAAATGCCTGAGCAAACAGAAATATATAAAACTTTATTATTATATATTATATTATCTTATATTATATTATAAGAATTTTAAATTCAGAAATGTCAGATCCAAAAATATTAACAATAATAACTCCATTTTATTCGATAGATTAATTATCGAATAGTTAAAGAAATAAAATATAATATGGATAATTCACCCCTCGCTAAATTCACTCCGATATTCGAAGCCAGATGAATATATAATCCACTGATATTCATTCGCTCTCTCGATATTTTGGTGACAGCACTGGCGAATGAAGCAATGCTCTTCTCATAAGCTTCACGAGTTAGAGCTGGTGTTTCCTTTATCAGGATTTTTCTCTCGTAGAATGTTTTCTCAATGACGATCACTTGAAATAATTCGATAAAATCTCAGTATTGAATCAACTTGGATGAATAGAACGTACCCATAGTAGCATTGGCAGTCATAAGCGATGGAAAGTCATTGAAGCCGTTGATGAATCCGCAAGAGGAAAGCACCAGGACAACGGAGATCAAAGCCATTGTAGCGACTAGTCTGAAAAAATTAGTTCTGTGAACAGAACTGGCTATTTTCTCAAGTAGTCGATACACCTTGGGGTATGGGTTCAATCAATTCTTGATTTCCTCGTTAATAAATGAAGTCGATTGATTAGTCCTCCTAGAACTCCTGGTCGAACATTCATTAATGACGACTCTCATACAATTTTCAGTGAATACACTGAGAGAAATATTCAATAAAAATTACGTGTATTTTCCGTAATTCTGGAGCAAAATGTGGTTGTCGGAAATTTTACGGAACTGTCACGTAATTTTTATCTAAAGTCACGGAAATTTTCCGCGGTGTTCTGTAATTTTTATCTGAATAATCGATCAAAAATAACGATACCGTCATTTAAATTTCTCGAATCAACTCCGTAATTGGTAAGTGTACTGAAAGTTCCGTAATTTTTCCTAAATATTTTTCTCCGTGTAGTGTGAGCAATTCTTTATTTTAAAAAATAGTTTAAACAATTAATGTAGTTTATAGAAATATATAAAAACAGAACGATGGTATCGACGCAATGGTCGTTGTGACTTCCATGTTCTTTGTCCGATTCGGGGACAGCCTTCGAAGTGAGAATATATTTTAATGAACAGTTCAATTGCGTTTATATTAGTATTTTTTATTCATTAACCTAGTGTTTATAAAACAAACTCTTCAATTCTTCTGAGATTCGGTAGAACTGGGATTTGATTGAAATTCTGACGTGATGAGCATCCATTTTCTAAGAATCGAATATAGAGTACGAATAGAGTTATTGCCAAACATTTCCCGATGAATATGCCCCACCTCCCGGGGGGTCCGCCTCCGGAGGTCGACGAAATACCAAAACAAACCGGATACTCCTCACATCTCCTATGATCCCGTTCTACAACTCTGATTGGCTTGACATTACAGATGCGCTACGAGATCACCAATGAAAATAAGGGAAAAAATAGAGCAACTCCTCAATCACTGAAACATTCAAGTGCCTGATTATGTCCGCCAATTTAATTTCCAGGAAGGCGGTCAGTGCTTTTAAAACGAATCGATCACGGAGGGAGAATTGATCATAAAAAAAAAATTTATGGATTAAAATTGAGTCAATTGAAGAATTCCTTGCTTTCTTAATATAGAGATTTTTAACGAATCCGCATACCTGGGCGCAGATTAATATCATCTGTAGAAAATATTGAGGGTAATTTCGTGTGAAATGCTGTAGAGGTTGAGATAAACATCATCTAATCTCAAAATTTTTACCCATTAGTTGTCCATCAGTTTTGCGATAAGGGCTGGAATCTCGCAGGTCGTAAAAATAATAATCCTCCCAAGGTAATTACATTACACATGCAAATCCTTCATTGTGTTTTCTCATTTTTCTTCATTGTTTATTACTCATTACTCGTTGAAGGCTGTTCCGCGAGGATACAAGAAGATTTCGAGCTGGAGAAGTGCATCCTTATTATCGTTTTATTACAAAGCACATAATGGTTCCATAATTCAGCAGGGAAATAAAGTGGTACACCCGAGAGATCCAGATGTTGATGGTGGAGATAATGATAATGATCTGAATGATCTCGTGTGAGTTTTAATTGTTAATGAGTTCTGGTTCTTTCATTTAATTTTTATTTTCCGTTTGAACTTTTGAAACAGATTTTTAAATTCAAATATCCTCGACCTTTCATCATCCAGGAGATACCGGTATATTACTTATTGGAAAAATAGCAAGACATTTAACATTCGCAGTTTCGTCCACAGATAGCGCCAAACATCAAATAGGGTTCAGTGACAGCTGTCAAATAACAAAACACTTTGTGCTATATTTATGTGGAGTTTCAACATGATGTCAGTGTCGATAACAACTGAATTCTCCGTTCCAAGGTGCTATAGAGATATCAATAATCAGCAAAAGCTGGTGACAATGATATTGCACTAGTAAAAATCGAGAACATGTGGATGCTCAGTAGGTTACATCAGCCTGAGCACATGTGTCCATATAATTAGAAATACACGCAATATTTATCACAGGGTCAGATACAGATTTGATAATGGATTCACCCAGAAAGCCAGAGCATCTCAAGGTGCTGCTAGTCAGTGTTCTAATAGCATTTATCTCCATAGCTTTATTCTCCCTCTGGAAGAATATGTTGTGGCTCTATTTTTACATATTGTTGTCGATATCCTGTTGCTGCATCGGTCCTCTGGTACTTATTTTAGTTCATATTGCTCTATCCCCTGAACATCAGACTGGTGCTGGCACGTCCAAAACTATTGTGGAGATGGATACATTCAGGACAATGTTAATGGTGAGTTTTATTAAATCATATAGTAATTACTACAATTGGTGTTTTATTCGTTGGAGGCAATCAGCTGTTTGATAAAGAATTTTAACTTGAGAAATTGCAAATTTACAGAAAGGGTATGAACCAAAGCTGTCCTCCAATCGTCGTCAAAATAAATATCCAGTGGTATTTTCAAGGCCAGTAGATGGTGCTCTCCAGAATCTCCTGGACCTTGCATTCCGTGATTTCGTTGGTTGTTGGCTAGAGGATCTGGCCTTCTACCCAGACCAAACGATTGACAACATGAAGCAAGACGTCTGGGGTGCGATCCAAAGTCTCCACGATCGTCTCTCCAGAATTGACCACACAAAACTCGTAGCTTGCAGTCTTGTCAACAAAGTGGCATTCCACTTTGAGAAGATCAGGATAGCTCAGGCCGCAGCCACTGAGGGCGAGGACCCAGTCTTCGTCCTGTCATCTCACCTGATGTCAAAGACCTCCGAGCTGGAGTACCTGCGACGTGTCAGTGAACTGCTCATCATGTTTTTTCTGCCAAGAAGTTACTCCCTGTCGCCTGCCAAATATCTTCTACGTGAAATAATCACGAGTAAAATTATCAAGCCTGCCATAGATCTGATAACAGATCCAGATTACATCAATCAAAAAATTCTACTCTACATCGAACAACAGCAACAAGCTGAGGCCATGCACAGAAAGACTTACGAATACGCCGAGTCCTTCGAGGACTTTATCCGAATGATCAAGAGCTCGAGGGATCTGGAAGTTCTAAAACACATTCGTTACAATATTGTCACCGAAATTATGCAGGCGACGACGATACAGAACGTGAAGAGGTCCCAGGGACTCGATCCAGATAGCAACACTTTCGGTAAATCCGACGCAGTTCAGGCCAAGAAATTAAAACGCTACATCAGCCAATTGACTTATGCTAAAAATACCTGTGAAGTTCATATGCAAAGTCTGGGATGGGATGGTTACCGAATTCAGGCGACTGACGAGGTGGATCCAGCAGTGGGAACAGAAGGCAGAGTTCTTCCTCTTCAGATAATCCTGGACAATGTCACTGGTCGTCGGCATCTCTCTGCCTTCCTGGAACAAGTGGCCAGTCAAGGTCTCCTGGGGTACTGGGCGGCTGTTCAGGAACTCAGGAGTGCTGAGAGGTCCAACTGGCACCAACTGGGTGCCGAGATCTTTTACACGTACATAAGATCTCCAACGGCTGAGATTAAAGTCGATAAAAACGTGAAGAAACGAATGGAGGCTTTTCTCCTCGGAGACAAGGGCCCTGACGTGTTCTACGAGGTGCAGGAGGACGTCGTGAGGACTCTTCAGGATAAATATTACTCGTCATTTCTAGTCAGCGAGCAGTATAAAAAAATGCAGGAGGCATTGTTGAGTGAACGAGCTGATGGGATGGTTGGGGAAGATCGTATTCAATCAGCGGAGGGCACCATCCTGGAGACAACTTCTCTCCTAGTTGGTGAACACTCGAATTATGCTCGGAGTAAACTCGATCAACTCCAGGAAAAATTGAATAATAAAATGCAAGCGCTTCAGGCATTGAAATCGTCCCTCAAACCCGAGAGCCGGGTATTGAGTATTCTCGCTAAAGAGGTCGAGTGGCTTCAGGGTGAAAAAAGACAATTGGAGGCACACTTGACGCACACGGAAATGTGGGCAGAACATCTAGGAAAATGGAGGGCTGATGTCCAGAGCGCAGAAACACCGGATAATGGAGATCCACCACAATTTATTATTGTCGTACACATGGCACAGGAGGAGGGTAACGATGAGAGTATATCCACGGGATGGGTTGTGTTCAGAAAACTTACGGAGTTTCAAGAGCTTCACAGGAAGTTACGGCAACTCTGCTCGAACGTTAGAACTCTCGAGTTACCCTCACAGCCGTTGAAATTTTTCGGTAAAACTGATAAGAATTCACTGGATAAAGCTAAGAATCAAACTCAGAAGTATTTGAATTTTGTTCTTGAGGACGAACGTCTCAACCAGAGTGAAGCACTTTATGCTTTCTTGAGCCCTAGCTCGGAGCATCTCAAGCACACTGCACCTTCCCCCAAAAAGTCACGATTTTCATTGTCAACTTTATTCAAAACTAATTCTGGGGGGAGTGGAGATTCACGAGAAAAGGAAGAGGAAGAGGATTATTCTTTATTGTTGGATGATAATGAGGTGGGAAGGTCTACCACAGATGCTATATTGGGGCCTGGAAAAGATGCCATTGCTGAGCCACTCTATGCACTTTTGGGAGAAGTCTTCGATCTCAGGGGAGTCTTCAGGTGGCTCAGGAGATCGTTGATTATATTCGTACAGATTACGTACGGGAGAACTATCAATAGACAAGTCAGAGAGACAGTTGGTTGGCTATTCTCTGAACCGATGCTGCATTATTATGTACAGCTGTTTACAAAGTCTTGGTGGCCCAATGGACAGCTGGCACCTAGTCCTCCAGTTAGAACTGATGAGGAGAAGTTGAGGACCAGAGGGGAAGCCAGAAGGCAGTTCCTCAGCAATTTGCCAGAGGTATTAGCCAGTCTTGTTGGTGCGCAGAGCTCTCAGAGAGGTGCAACTAAAGTTTTTGATACCTTGCAGAATGTTAATCTGAATAAACAGCTGTTTTATGTGAGTATTGAGAACACTGATATTTTCGAGTTTAATTAACAGGTAATTAATTTAATGGACTAATTTTATTTTTCAGGACATCTTTGAGGTACTCATGTACGAAATTTTTCCTGAACTTCAGCACAAGTGAGATTACTCATGATTTACAGAAATCCAAAGTCTTATGCATAAGAGCAGTTCAACGCTCCAAAGATAACATTCCTCTTGGCATTGATCAATAACTTATTCCCGTATTTCTGAAGCCAATTGCCACAGTATTAAGATCCTCCATGGACCAAACTCTACTAAAAAATCAAATTAATGAATGCAGAATACCAAAAACCGGTATCGGAAATTTTGATGAATTATTTATCACCGAGAAAAACACTTTGCTCTCATCACAAGAACGAAGGGACTGCAATGCTTTAAAAATTATATAAATGATATATATTTTTATTCACCTAATTTTGTGTCACAAAGATGTTTTTAATTCACCTTCGGCCAAATGAAAATGAAACTCCGTGTTCTATTTCTGGTACTAAGTAAATTCTATTTAGTGTCAGTGTCGTTACAGTATAATAAAAAAGTTGAAAATATGTGCTATGATAATGTTCACCATTCGTAATGATGATAATGTGCTAATTCCAACTGATTCTGAGTTAAATGTTCAATAAACGCAATGTAAATAATACAATTGTTGTCTTATTTGGAGGGGAGAGAAGATTAATGAATAGCAACTAAAAATTAGGATACAGAATATTTTATTTCAACATCATGCGGAGGCAGCATGATGTATGAATATATTAAACAATGTATTCTCCCTTATTTATTCTAAAATTACTTGCAACTCCTATACAAATATTACAATGCCTTTTAATAAGTTGAATTATTTCTCCACGTTTATTTACACATTCACAATATTTTCTTCTTTATTAGTCTTCGTGTTATTTCCCTCTCTTTGGCACCATAAACAGACGCAAAATTTGAATCAATATTAATCAAGAACGTCGAGAACAATTTTTCGTAATTAGAAAAATTCTTAATCACGCATCACTTCTCGATTTAATCGTCCAGTCACCCTTGAACAAATTTATGATATTTTTAGTTGTCAGTTTTTTTTGAATCCATCATTCAGCCCCAGGACTAATTGAATACCTTGATAAAATCGGTCGAGAGTTGGCTCTTGAGTTCACCTGAGCTTTGAACCCACTGGAGCTTCGTCTCGTCCATTTATATTTATTATCTCCCAATTATTATTACAAGGTGTAAATAATACTTTGAATGACCATCGATTTGTCAAACAGTCACGCACTCTATGCAATCCACACATTTTTTTCCCCCGATTCAAACAAAAAATCTAGCTGTGCCTCAACTTGATCGGTTTAGAGGATAAGTAGGTGTTTCAACAGAGACCAAAAAATCAGCGGCGGACGGCACGCGATAAATAATATCATTGCTCACCACAATTACGAGTGCAATCAGTTGAAATATTCCGAATTTCGTTAAACGGTTTATCATCAGATTTCCATCAGTTGCTGCACCATATCACATTTAATCCTTGAGTTCTAACATCCATCATCTCCGCGCTATATCATCAGTTGTTACTTTGAAACTGTTCAAAAAATTTTATTACAGTGATTAACAGTGAGACTCGTGTGTATTTGATAATTTCTCCGTTCTCCATTATTCATTTAATTTATTGAATTTCTAAATTCGATGAAAACTCGTTCTAAGGATCGATGTAATTACACTAACATGACACAGAATTCAATGATTTATTCATATTTTTTATCGCCATTTTCATTTGCCTTTTCGGTATAAATTGTTGCATGTTTTATCGGAAGGTGAGAAGATCACGAATCACTTGTCCTCAATTTATCATTCCCTTTCATAATTTTCCCATATTATAATTAATCAAATAAATTAAAATGTCCCTTCCTTAAAAAAAATTCAGAGTTCGCTCTTCAAGCGTCGAATCCCTCCATTTTGTTTTGAAATTCGCCATTCAAATGCCTTGGAATGCCCTAGACCTGCTGGGACACTCAAACAATATTCAATCATTGAATAGCATTTCTCATAGAAAAAATATATATATCCATAATTTTATAATCTCATTGAGTCTCTATCACTTATAAAAATACTTGGGGGTTCGACATTACGCAATTTTCAACGGCCAGCGAACCACAAATACCGTAGAATCCCATTATAGTCTCATCTCCTCAGTTTCCTTTTTCACGTATCCTTCGGTTTTCCCACTCTACAACCCCGGGGCTCCAAGATGTAAACAATCCACTGATTCGTCCAATGAGGAATTGAATTCTGGGCGCGATAAATCCACATGGTGGGTTGCTCCACAGATGACTATAACAGGTGTCTACTGTACAGCAGAAATTGATAGAAACTTTACCTCTCAATATTTCCACATGACAAAGAAATTTCCCTGTAAAATATCCTGACCTTCCGAAAGCCCGCAGTTAAGCCTATCCGCAGTACAAATATACTTCAACCTCATTTCGTTCTCGTTATAAAAATAATTTGAACATAGTCCAATGAAAAATGAATAAAAAACTATAAAATTGATAAAGCCAAATTGGATTGTATACAAATAGATGACTAAAATTCTAAAAAATAGAGGATTCGAGGGTGTAAAATGAATTTTAAATAAAAATGAATGGAGTGATCTATTCTGCTGAATAAAACGCTCTCATCAAAGCCCACCAGGCCTCAGCCATTCAGATGTGTAACATGTATGAGTGAGGGTGAAGATTCCCTCGGTGTAACAGAGGGTGCACGACTGCTGCTTGGAGTTGCTGATGGAGGAATCAGTGACACAACTTCAGGGCTCGGGCTCTGCCCATTGTCCTCGTACACTCTCTCCTATAATACAATGAATTATTGATTCCTTCTTTCCAAATTTTTCCCATTAAATATCTATCATTCGATTTTCATTCTCTAGTTGCTCTAGTTCTCAATGATTTCACATATTATTCAACTCAGTCTTTGGTCTTATGCCCAATCAGGTTATTTCCTCAAGCTCTCTTGACGAAGTGATCAGGTACATCTTACAATTACTAGTCTGATTTATTCGTTCAGCATTTATCTCTGGAATTTCTCTGATTTATCTTTTTCTACCTAGAATTCTCATTTCTAGTTTACGTATTTATCTTTAGAATATTGTCGATATCCTTGAGTCGACATCAGGCAATGATAGCTCCATGGACACGAATTCATTATCCTTGGACCATGGATCTGTCAATGTCTAACACTCCATGGTTCCGGTTTCATTCATTTGTATGAAGCGAAGAGGTAGATGCTGCAGTTTGATCGGACATTCGACTTTGGCTGAGTTAGATCTCTACACCAATTCATTTTATTCCATCCAATAGTCATATTTTTATTTAACCGACGTTCATTATCAATAATTCAATGTTCATTTTTCCAGTAGGAAAAAGGGAAAGAAAGAATGAGCGCAAGATTAGCGCATCTTACTTTATCGAGAGAGATCTTGAGTTCAAATGAAATAATGAATTGTCGAATTTTCCTCTGACCTCAAGATTATCGTGACAAATAAATTTTATTTCAAATATTATTGACAAATCTCAACGTACCTGCGAGCTGTCGTATTTCAGTCTCTTCCAAATCGATGATTTTTTCTCAGCTGGAGGATTACTGGGTCCAACGTCAGCAACAGATGCATTGTAATTTGGATTTGAAAACGTCAGAACATTTCTCCGATTTGTGTACATGTACTTCTCTTGCTTCGGCTTCCTCTGACACACGAGGTAAAGAATCGCGCAAATTATCACCACTGTTATTCCACTAATGACAATTATGGTAATTGTCATAGTGGCATAGCCTTTATCCTTATTGATTTTATAATTCTTGAATTTATCACTAGCATCTCTGTGAGTGGGTCTTGTGAATACTTCCACTGGTTTCTCGTTCTCATTGTGCTCGTCATAATCGGGATTGTTTTCGGTGCCAGGTTTTCTCACTGGGACTCGTTGTTTTGGTACTGAAACACAATGAGTAAAATTTAATGAGAGAAGATAGCTCTCGACCTCCATAGAGTATGAAAATAAAAATGACCTTTACCTGTCGAACAATTGGGATTTGGAGTATCGGGACACCCACACGTATAATTACTCTTGATGAAGAAGCACAAATGGGTGCATCCTCCATTATCAACAGCACAAGGCGACCATCCCCTCTGCCTCTCCTCAGAAACAGCCTTTACATCGCTTATCCCATGCAGAGATGTTCTAATATTGATCCAGCTATTGCCAGTTGTTTTATCAGCCCTCTTCACCATCGTCTGATCCCACCCAGCCCAATAAATGAACTCCCCATACTGGGACAATCCATAAGGTCTCTCCGCCCTCGGCACCAATTGAATTCTGTAATTTCCATTCAAGTCTGACATTTCAATCCTGTCCTTCACCGAATCGGCCCAATAGAGCTTTCGCTTCTCGTAATCAATACTCAACCCATTAGGATAATACAGATTGCTCGTGATGATTGCCTTCTTGTTGGTACCATCAAGCAAGGCCCTCTGAATGGTCGACTCTTTTCCCCATTCAGTCCAAAACATGTACCCGAGTTTAGGAAAAACAGCGATTGACCAGGGCGTGTCTAAATCAGTCAGCAGACACTTTCGACTGCTTCCATCGATTCTAGCAACTTCTATCACCCTCTTCTTCATGTTTGTCCAGTAGATATTGCCCGCCAGCCAGTCAACAGCTATTTTGAATGGCGATGAATCAGAATGCTCCGAATTCCCAGGCTCTGCGATAATAGTCTTCGTGTCCGAGAAATTATGCATATTTACAGTCCTGATTACCCTGAGATTGAGATCCGAGTAGACGATGAGGCTCTTGTTCCAGTGAAAGTCCACGGAGTTGGCGTGATGGATATCTGAAATTGGGAGAGTCTCTTCCCACTTCTCCGCTGTGTCGAATGATATACGAGCGAGGGATTTCGATGCTGCGAACAGTAAGAAATTCTTTGGACTCGTGTAACAAGTCTTCTTGTCGTCTTTCAAGAGAATTCCGGTTGGACATGCACAGGTGTAGCCTCGGGGATTACGAAGGCACAAGTTAGAGCAGCCGCCGTTGTCATCACCGCAGGCATCCTGAAGACCTTTAATGTCATTCATCTGAAATTACAAGAATGATTAGTACTTGATGGGACTATTTCAAGTTTTCTGTTATCCATTCGAGGATTTATCATCAAAGACAGCTATATGATATGTGATATAAGAGCAATTCCTTACTTGTTTATTATTCTACTTACACTTATTGCTCTCACATCCATAATGCCCTCCAATTTATTTACAATGACCCTGGGATCACTGCCTGATATCTTATTAGCCTGATGAATAGCTTTAGTTTGCCAATCGCTCCAATAAATGGAATCCTTCATCACAGAGAGTCCATAAGGATGCTGAATATTTTTAATCAAAGTCCTTCTGTTACTCCCATCAAGATCAGCCACTTCGATGACTTTTCGTTTAGCATCGGTCCAGTAGAGTTTATCATTCTGAGTATCAATGGACAATCCATTAGGCCAGACAAGATTATCAGCAATAACAGTGGATCGCTCCTCTCCGTCCATATTGGCCCTTTCAATCCTGGCATTGTGACCCCAATCTGTCCAAAATATCAGTCCCTTGGCGTAATGCACAGCAATGGCCCTCGGATTATCCAATCCCGACCATATGAGTACCTTTCGATTTCTCCCATCGAGTTCACAAACTTCAATGCTGTTCAATCCAGCATCAGTCCAGTACAATTTCTGCCCGACCGAATCAACGACAAGACTGTCAGCAGTGTCAATACTAGTGTAAACAATATTCGTCACATTCTTCCCATCAAAACTAGACTTGGCAATGACATCATGACCTGGATCAGTCCAATAGATCTCACCAGTTCTCCGATTAACATCAACTCCACTCGCATTTTTCAGGTAATTAACTGGTAGAAGAACGTCCACTCTGTAATTAACATCGAAGGATATCATCCTGATGTCAACACGATGAGCAAATATAAGGAATTCATTGGGCACTGATCTGCACTTCTTCTGATTAGTGCCAGGCTCGATAATGAGTCCAGTGGGACAAGCGCATTTGTAATTCGGAGGATCAACAGTCAGCAGACAGAGATGCGAGCATCCCCCGTTATTCTTGCAAGGATTAATGCCGATGTAACGTTTAGGACGAATCGCACGAACATCCATGAGATTGCCCAATTGAGCCCTGACAACAGTAGCGTTCGCCCCCGTGTGCTTGTTCGCTCTGTGAATACTCTTGGTATCCCAGTCAGTCCAGTAGATCGTGTCCATATTGAGGGTAAGACCAAAGGGATGCGAAAGATCGGAGAGTACGCGGGTGCGTTTACCCTCGCCAATTAAACTCACGTACTCTATGCTCTTCATTCCCCCATCAGCCCAATACAGTCTTTTGTCAGGGAAATCAATGGCCAAACTGTTGGGCCACATGATATTGTCAACGATAAAATCTTCTCGCTTGCTTCCATCCATGGCAGCTCTCTCAATCTTCGGTTTGATCCCCCAATCACTCCAATACATGTGGCCCGTGTGGGGATATACCACGATATCCCGAGGTTTGTCGAGTCCCTTGTAAACGAGAAGTGTCCTCATGGTGCCATCGAAATTCGAGCACTCAACTCTGTTAGTTCCAGCATCGGTCCAGTACAATTTCTTGGTGACCCAGTCCATAGCTAGACCAGCAGGTGATTCCAAATTATTGTTAATTACGACAGTCTGATTGCTTCCATTGAGATGAGCTCTGCTGATGGTGTCCATTTCAACATCAGTCCAGTAGATCATCTCCTCTGCAGGATCCCAACTGAGGGCAACAGCACTCTGTACATGATCAACCGGAATTACAGTATCGAATACTCTGGTTGATTGGGTCTCCATGGGTATTAGTCTGAGGTCTGGTTTTCTCGCAAATATTAGGAAATTGTCAATGTTTGAAACACAATTTTTGCCGTCGTATCTGATCCTGAAACCCACGGGACAAACGCAACTGTATCCAGTGCTGTTAGGCAAACACATGTGTGAACATCTTCCATTGTTGTTTCCACAGTGATTTGGATATGAGGGCTGTCGTTGTTTGTGATAGCTGTGAATATCCATGGGAAAGTACAGATTGGATCGTATAGTCTTGAAATTCTTTCCATTTCCCTTATTCGCGGAGGAGATACTCTGAAAATGCCAGTCAGTCCAATAAATCAAATCCTCGAAGATTGTGATACCGAAGGGATGATGCAGCCCTTTGCTCAGCACTTTCTTTTTATCAGTGCCATCGAGTCTGGCTGACATGATGGCAGGATGTTTTGCATCGGTCCAATATATTCTCTCCGTGGGATAATCAATAGTCAAACAGTTGGGCCAGGTAATTCCATCCGTGATGAGAGCCTGCCTGTCACTGCCATCCATGTCAGCGCGTTCGATCTTCGGTGATGGGCCCCAATCTGTCCAGAATACGTAGCCGTAATGAGGATGCACAGCTATTCCCCTCGGTTTATCTAAATCCGTCGACACCAGTACATGACGAATTTTACTCTCCAGAGTGATAACTTCCACTCTTCGCGTGCCCGAATCTGTCCAGAATAGGAGATCGTGGATCCAGTCAATGGCAACGCCTCCAGGACTCTCCAATCCCCAGCGAATGACATCCTCTGGATTGGTCCCATTGACGTACACCCTCTTGATCATGTCTAACGATACGTCAGACCAGTAGAGAAGACCCTTGTCGTAGTGATAATCGACAGCGATTGCGTTGTGAAGTCCTTTGAGAATTGGTGTGTAGGTGTTGTCCGTTGCTGATGCCAGACTGACTCTTCTGATGTCCACGCGATTCGTCAAGATGAGACTTGGATTTCCACCATTGGCTTTGCACGTTCTCATATCCGGTCTCAAAATATAACCGGTGATGCAGCCGCAGGCGAAGCCCCCGTACGTGTTGTTGCAGAGTTGACTGCAAACCGGTTCTTTACTGAATTCACACTCATTGATGTCCAGGCACGTGACGTTATCACCTGAAAGGCTAAAACCAGAGTCACAGGCGCAAGCGTTCTCATTGCTCGCTGTAAGAATGCACTGTTGTTTGCACTTGTCCTTGGACGTGCAGTTCCTCTTCTTCGGACAATTATCTTCATCCTCTTTGAGGGGGCAGTCGGGAATGCCATCGCACAGGCGTTTTTTGTTGATGCAGTATGCGTGTGTATGCTGAAACGGCATGTGCGGTGTTTTATTTACTGTTTCATTGGGGTCTGGAGGTGATTTGCACAGGTACTGGGTTGCATCGCAGGTCAGAGGACAGCCGTCCTCATCTTCACCACCGGAACAGTCGGGCACTCCGTCGCAAACCCACGAGTGCTGCTCACAAAAATCATTTGATTACATTTTTCGAGGCGGAAAACTGACATTTTACGATTGAATATGCTCACGGATATGCAATTTCCGGTGGCACACGCGAACTCCTCGGGTGTTGAACATTCCCGGGGCGTTGGATGTTCACAATTCGTTTCATCTTCACCGGCATTGCAATCATGCTGGCCATCGCAGACCTGTAGTTTACTGATGCAATCACCAGTTTCACATCTGTAGATGGAAAAAAATTGATGAGAAATGGGTGGAAATTTGGCGCTTGGGCGGGTGAAAAGGGAGAAAGGGTCTTTGTGTTACAACTGGGAATATCATGACAGCTGGATTTCTCTGTGAATTAATCACGAAGGGGATGTTTTGCGATTCCGGGGAAGCGAGTGAACAAGAGGTGCGGGTGGAGTCAAAGGGAAATGCCAGATGTTATGACTTTTTCATTGAATGAAGGGAGAATTGATGGAAATGAATCGAGGCTGATTGCAAGTGGCTGTATTCGGAAGGGTGCAAGCGGAGAGAGAAAACAAAAAGGAATACTAGGGACTAACGAACATGAAACTACATGTACTCGGGTATTTTTCATTCATTTTTTGTTTTTCATCGCGTTCTGATGAATGAACGAACGAATACGATTCGTCAGTCTATTTTTTTTCCAGTTATTTTTACACTACCGTGGGAGAATGGAAGAGTATCGTAACGTGATTAGCCGGAGGTAAGTAGATAAATTATTTCACTCACTTGAATTGATCTGCATTGCAGTCCATCAGGTTGGGGCAATTTTCCTCATCACTGGCATCCCCGCAATCATCACTCCCATCACAGCGGTATTCCTTTCTGACGCATTTTGCCGTTGCACACACGAAATAATTCTCACCGCAGTCGACCTCGCGATTTCCATCTGCAACATTGGCTTTTTAGTTTCAACAGGAAATTTATTGCAGGATATTTTTTTTTTAATCTCTTACAGCATTTGAACTCGTCGGAGCCATCATCGCAGTCGCTGTCGCCATCGCACATGAATTTACGAGGTAGACAAGGGCCATCCGTGCAAGCGAACTCATCCTCACGGCATTTTCTGAAAATATCAGGGAAAATGCGAGACTGATCGACGCCAAATTGACAAATATACGGGAAATTCAATAAGTTTTTAATCTCCACACTTCGCTATCAAAGTGCTTTCAGGAATTTTGTTTTAAACAAATTTTCCTCCATTATCGGATATTGATTTGCAGAACAGCGAATGAAGGACGATATCCCGGGAATTGAGTTACCATCGAGAGCCACGAAAGTACTCGGTTAAAACACAATTCTAGAATAATTAAATTTCCATCAGTTATGCGTCAATATCAGGAAAATGTGGATGATACGAGTATCAGGAACGGAGCATCAACTGATGATACCAAAAAGTTCAATGGATTCCGCAATTCCCCAGTGATTCTTCATTCAACACTGGCATTTCCATTGTTCACAGAATGGTCTATCTATATAAATTCGAGTCAATAAATCTATTTTGAGATCGATCTGTTTGAATTTGTATGAGGGGAGAATAAGAGAAGCCCACACTCTCAAGTGGTCGATAGCACGCGCCACCAACGCACCAATGTGATACCATTAGCTGTTGTCTTGGCAACCTCCACGCCCTGGATCAACACTACCACCCATCTCCACAAATTTCAATCCCTTTTCCCCTCTCACCCACGTATAAACTCCATCCCCTTTCCATCCCTTGGATTCAACTGCTTAACTTTTCCCTCGACTAAAACCCGAACCCCCGACAATCTCTCAATCGTTCACATGCCCTAGACGTCGATCAACCCAAGACTTGATGCTAATCACGTCAAATTATTCCACCCCTTTCCATTTAGTCTGTTGGAGCTGGGTATTGGGTTCTGAATTGGCTAGAGTCTATCAATGATCAATTGATCGAATTTTCTTTCAGGGTGAACACGTGAAAATGACTGTCTCGAGGGTGTGAATGAGTTTCAGGGATTTTCAATCCTCTCATATGACTATTCCAGTGGGATTACCATGTCCATTGAAAGACGGATGATTTTTCTGTGTCACTTACTTTCGCTCGGTGCAATTCTCCTCGTCTGAAAAGTCACTGCAGTCATTGTCACCGTCGCATCGCCAACTCTGTGGCACACAGAGACCATTTCTGCACTCGAATTGATCCTGTGTGCAATTTTTCTTGACACCTGAATGGATGAACAGAATTTACGCTGGGGAATCATTCAATTTCTGGAATATCTTTGAATTTATCAGTAGAATGCACACGTCGAAAATATTTTTACATTCAAATTACGTCCAATGATATTTTTGTTGGCAAATTATGGAATTGATCATCGCGACGGGTGCAGAGATTATTAGACGTACCGCAATTCGATTCATCCGAGAAATCACCACAATCGTCGTCTCCATCGCAGAGCCATTCTGCTGCAATGCAGAATCCGGTCTCTGGGCAAAGTAGTCTCTGTTCGTCATAGCATGTGCCATTGGACTTTCGCGCCTCGATGATCTCCTCGCAGTCTAACTCGTCTTCACCGGTGTCGCAATCGTGCTACGGGGAATAATAAAGGAACAAGAATTTATAATTATTCAAGAATAGTTATTTTATTTCTGGTGAATACTCACCATTCCATCACAAAGAAGATGCACGTCGATGCACTCACAAGGGCGCAAACAGAGGAACTGATCATTCGCACAATTATTTTTGCAAGAAATATACAAATTGTCGTTATCATCCTCGAAGTTGTGGACCAAATCTGGAGATAAACTGTCAGAATTAGCTTCACCCATGGAGCTAATGCCATGGCCTCGATTTCCACCGTGATTTATTCTTGATCTATGTGGAACTTCTCGGTAGTAGCCTGAGGAAGCATTCGATAAGATAAATGATAAAAAACTCTCTTCTCCAGAAAGCTAAGGAAGCGAGGACTGGTGAACGGTAAACTTTTTAAAATAATATTTTTTATTGAGCAACGATTAATTCCCGTAGAATCTTCTCGTAGCCGATAATAAACCAGAGAATATAGATAGAATTGGCTAATTCTGACGTCGAGCTGTGATTCGCCTTTGAAAAAGTGATAGAGCTGATTTAATCCATTTTTATGACTCAGCGCTTCTCAGAAATTTCCATAAATTGAATAAACATGCAAATTTAAAAATCTCATCGAAATCTCCAAAACGGCAAATCCACCTACTACAAAATCAACCGGAGAAAATTAATAAAAATGCTTCTCCATATTTTTATAATTACATTTACAATTCTTCTTATAATTCTTCTTATAATTGTTTTTACAGCCGTTTTCATACTAATTTATATAATGGCTCCTCTGATAGTTGAATGTATTTAATAGCGCGGGGGATGAAACGCGTCCCACGCGAAACGTCTCGTGGGAATGGCGCAATTAAAATTGGCGGTAAACTTTTTTAATTCAATAGTTGGACGATGCGTATTCGTGTGGGTTTATCAAAGCGAAAATGCACATTACACCGAAAAATGACATACCACTGGTATCAAAGGATCCATAAAATCCGTCACGTCCGCGGCCTCTGGTTAAACCGACACGAGACATGCCAGGAGGTCCCTGTCCATAAAGTCCACCATTTGGATTCGGTATACGCATACCAACACCGGTTGCACCATTGCGATTGCTCGGTGCCTCAAAATTCGCCTCATAGTCCTCATCCGTCATGGGAATCACTGGAAAACCTGATGAGATCTTCGAGTGGCTCTTCGAATGGCGAGTGTTTGAGTTGCCGTAACCGTGGACTGAATCCTTTGGATGATCTCGATACCCTTAAAAAGAGTCTCCAGGTAACCCTCGGAAATTCCCCAGGATAACGAGGACGCGAATGCTACCGCAACTTGGCTAAACTTTTTTTGAATTTGTGAGACATACCAGCATGCGGTTTTTCCCCAGAGTGAAGGCCATTTCTGTTAGGATTTTGATGATCTGTTGGTGCTGTTGAATCTATTGGATTGGGACTACTCGTTTGACGAAGACTTCCACTGCCATACATCTGACGAGCTGCTCCTCGATTTATGGGAATGTGGGTCGTTGACTCCCCGTGAATGCATCCTGAAATTAAGAGATTGATGATGGCAATTCCGTATCAGCAAGTAGATAAATCCACTCGAGAGACGAAGTAGAAATGTTGGGATCTGGTAAGACATCTTTGAAGGTGAATGCATCAACTTCATTGATGCATATGCTATCAATAATCGATCTGGTGAGTCTGGAGTTTATTGATTCAACTAGAGAAAACTAGAGAGAGAATTTGGGCAAAAGGTGATGTCTCTTTGGGGATCTGGTGGACACACGGTCACCGGTCCATGAATGACTTGAGATAGTGCGGGGGCGACAGGAGATTTTCATTCACCACCTCAACGCATGCGTCATGAGGACAATCGATATACTCATAACAGCACACACCCTCTTCTTCGAAAAAAAAAACCATGACAAAGGATGATGATGATGTCGGGGGGAGCAGATATGAAAAATAGACTTCACAAATATTGGGCCATCATTCCCCCATCATTTTATACCACAACTCATGGATTTTGCGGGTCTACGTCATCGAAACTAATTTTTATTTCATTTCCATTTTCCTCGAGGATTATTCACGGGGTCAACCCTTTGCATAGCTTTTGCTGGACATTCTGAATACCTGAGAAATTATTTATGGAAGGATTCACCGAAAGATTTCCCACTTATTACAAATCGCAGTCCGGAATATTTTCTCTGGAGATCTAACTTAAATTTTTATAACATGCAGTAAAATTTGTGCGCAGAACGGTAATTTCTTCCGTCGTGTAGTTTTCCTCAGGTTTTCTAGAGAAGCTACACGATTAATGGGTTTAATTTTCAGTGATAATCTCCGGAATAATGAATTGCCAGAGGGAATCGAGAGGTTTGATAATTACCCAACGCTATGGCGAAGATGATGACTAAAATTTCTTGCATTTTGTATAACTCGTTAAGTCCAGGAGTTGTCAGCTCACATATCCCCAGGTCGAGGCCCAACCGACATTGTGGGCTCCTTGTTCTTCTCTTTGAAAGTGTCTTTCCTCCTCACTCGAGAGCTCTTCAATTTTACCTCATCTCGCTGACACTACACCATGAATGAAGCTAACGAGATTTGAATGATCTGATTGATATTAGCAGTTTAAATTCATCTGATTTCATGACTGCGCACTTGACAGCAGCGCTCGGGGTAAAATGGGAATTCGGTCAACGGGTCCTGCGAATCGATGAACTCCCAGTAGAAAAGCGAACTCAACAAATTATAAAAAATTTTATTTGCAAACACTGAACTGTCATTTTTAACTCATTCCGATGTAATAACTCCCCAATACACTATTTCACAATTAAAAAATAAATTAATAATCCTAAACTAAAAATTAAAACTTAACTTTCGCAATTGTGTCGTTATCAATCCTTCACCACAAAAAGTCTCTCCAAAAACGAATCAATTGAGATAATTATATGAATTAAATTACCAGTAAATGACTGGTTTCTTGTTTTTCTTTTATGTGATGAAATAATGAGTTGAATGCTTTATACGTGGACTCCAGAAGATGAGGTACTGATGAGTAGCTGTTAGAATGATAGGACAAGGATAATGAAGCTGGAGGATTTGACCTGGAGAAGAAGAGTGGAGCAGAAAGATGCTGTCACAATAATATCGAGTGATTGCAATCCGTTTCACACGAAATTTCGCGTGAGACTGAGGTTGGGTGACTCCCACGTATTCACCACCAGATCGGGGTCCAGAAGCGCAAGCGTATCGGGGTTCAGAGTTGATGTAGTGGTATAAAAAAAATCTAGTCCGGGTCACTTCCATCCTTATCCCAGCTCATTTTTATTTAACAATAATCCAAGTTATTTGTGAGCTTGAAGAGAAGATCTTACCATATATTAATTAAAAATAATACATACCTATTAGCAATAGCAATTCCCAGGAACGTTTTCTATTTGTGGCTATGAGAAGGCAATGGATTAATTTTTTTACTGTTTATTTATTAATCACATTTAATTCATTTTTTAATTTGTTATCGCGATTATTTACGATTGCTTGATTTTATCGATATTTTTAATGCGTATCCAGCGGCAGAGGGACACGATGGAGCTAAAAATTTTGTAGATGACGAATAATAAGATAAGGAGAATAATAGTCGAGAGAGCAATGACATCGAGATTCTGTGCTTGATACCAGATGAGAGTTGATCGCGTTAATTTCAGGTGATATGCGCCCTTATGTCGGATGACATATTCAATCCACCACATGGTGTTGTTCACTGGGTCGTGGGGCCTGTCGTTCAGCAGATCTCGGAGCTCCATTATTTTTTGTTTGTATTTATTGTTTAGCACCACCTCCATGATGGCCTTCTGCAAGTCTTCCTTCGTCAAACTGTGCATATCCAGCTTTACTGCACCACCGACGTTCACCATTTTGTTGACGTTGCTCTGTTGATCACCGAAAATTGGCAATGCAACCAGAGGTACACCAGCTGAAATAGCTTCTTCTGTACTCTGAAGACCGCCCTGATAGATGAAGGCCTTGATGGCAGGATGGGCTGCAAGAAGAATTCCATTCCCCAATTATCCACAGAAAATTTGAATATTGAAGAGTCAAATTTCGAATTAATTAGAATCAGTGAGCTCGGGGAACATGAGGTAAAATTACTCAATAATTAATTAATAACATTAAAGACCTTTAAAATTAATCTCATATTTCCGGAGAGTTGCCTTTTATAAAATCGAGAATAAGTTCCAAAGGAAAATTTCATGCGCAAGCGCTGAAATCACTTGACTTGTTGAACTCGATACCCTCATTTTTCACCTAGACAAAGTGGAGGGAAATACCGAGTTTATTTTCCAAGCCGAGAATTTTTAACTAAAAGAGTCAGTGACTGCAGTAATTCTTGAAAATACTCCGGAATTATCACGGGTCTGAAATAACTTGAGTGAATTAGAAGACTCCCACGACTTTTACGCGATTTCATATTGATTTTACAGAGCGGCGTCATGATCTCCGGAGTATTTCCTCCGCGATTATCTGTTAAATTACGGATTTACCTAGAATAGCTCTCTGTGGCAGCCATTTAGATATGAAAACATTATCCGGCTTTCCTGGAAGATCGGCCTCCCACTTCCAAATTACGCGATAAGGAATGGCAGCGAATACTTCCGTGAAAATTTTCCGCGTCTCATCGGACATATAATGTCCGGGTAGAGTAGATCCCAGGCTGAAGTAGATGAAGCCGTTGTCAGCGGAATCTAAGAACTTCTTCATGTCAATTGTCAGCTGTTGTTCCGATTCCCTGGAGACATGAATTCCACCCATATTGATGACATTCGGTGCTCCAATCGTCGGATGGGGCATCCAATGCTCCTGATCTGTGAAAATCATGCTGACATTCCTCATCAAATCATAGACATGGGGATAATCACTCCCAAAGTATTTTTCAATTACTCTCTGCTGCCGATTCAAGGTGTAATACATGAAAGACGTTAGAGCAAAATCTATAGCGAATCCCTTGAGTCTCTGAAAAAATGTCTTCTCGCCAGTTTCACCAGTCATATATGGGGGTACATCGATCGAGTGGAAGGGCAGACCAATTGAGAAACCAAATGCTGATATCGGAACTGTAATGAGGCCAATTACTGGTGCCTTAAATCGATAACCGAGTGCATTCAAAGAATCCCAAGTTACCCATTCAATGATTATAAGATCAAATGTTTCTTCACTGTTCGGTTCAATCAGTCTCGACATTTCCGGGTTTGAGAATGTTCGCTCCATTAATCTCTGAGGAAACAAAGTAACACAGAAATCATATGAGAATAGAATTTCACATTTATGCGACATCATAGGAAATTATTGGATGGCATTTGGATGGAGTAGGAGAGAGATAACAGGATAGATGGATATCCTTAAGGTTGTTGTCGCGTAGAATTTTTTTTCGACAGTTTTCGTTAACAATTTTATGGTGAATAGTTTGAAAAATTAGCAACAAAATGAGCCTTTTCCGTTTGCAATTGACCGTTTTGAACTTGAGATATAAATTTTTGAAATTCGAGTGATTTAACACGTGTTTAAATGGAGTTTTGCCGATTAGAATTTTTTAAAAATCAACGGCTCGACAGTTTCAGAAATAAAAAAAAACGTGGAATATACATCGTGGGAGGAAATACAGAAAAAAAAATCAAATCGATTGACCGTTTGGTTTACGGAATATAATTATTGGAAATTCATAAATTTATATAATTGAAAATAGTTAATATGGAAAATATATAGTTATGCTTTAGCTATCCATGCACAATGCAATCAATCAAGTGAGACTATATACCGCTAAAAGATTGTGTTCTAAACTGGCCCGTTTTACAGCGGATAAACTTTTTACAGAGACTGTCGCGCGACAACCACCTTAATACCAATGCTAACTTATAACTTGGAATTTCTACTGCAGAAAATAAATCAGATGAGGAAAAACTTTGAATAACCGAAATGAACCAAAAAATACTCTCTTACTTCAGAAACTTCCGGCAGCTTGAGCATCAATTGCAGGAGATTCACTTGACGTTTGAGGACCTGCCGCAGCTCTTGAGAAGACACTTCATTCTCCACCAAATGGTGTTCCCGATAATTTTTAAGATTTTCAATCTCCGTACCCACTGGATATCCATCAAATACAACGAGTTCATGACCTCTCTTCGCCAATTCCACAGTAATAGTGTGCAATACAGCACTGTGACTAGCCGATGCCAATGGAAATACAGCAAGAATTCGTGCCGATTTGCATTCTGCTATAAAAACACCTAAAAAAAGTGTTAACGTCCACCAACGAATGGAATCCATCGTCAGGGATTTTGATAACTGCAATTACTCCTCTTCCCGAATAGTCAATTAATTTCACATGAACGATTGATGAACGAAATACACCGAGACAATCATGTATTGCAGATAAACTGACTACTGATTCCGGAAAATATCACATATGCAGACATGATTGCTTCCTCCCACCACAAAAATATCTTGGATTTAACCTTGGCAATAAGTCATACCCGTGGACTATTATCTAGCGATGTACTTGAATATTGTAGAGTGTAACAAGTGGAATTGAACTGAAAAGAAGTCAATAGTAATGACTTAATCTTCTATCAATATGAAGGATCATTGTCATGAACTGGTGGTACGATGATATCATCAACTCGGCGGCAATAACTTTTGCTGAATATAATTATTCGCAACACTTACTGCAGTTTGTAATTATCGAAGTGATTGCGGTATTACGCCAGTCATTCGGAAATCTAGTAGAAAAACGTAACGCATATTCGATGAAGGATCTTTTAGAATTCTTGTACTATTTGTGTTGATAATTTTATTAATTTTAATCAGTTGATTTTTAATTCAGCAGATTGGCGATGGCCGATTATTATCTAGGTATCGGACAGTTCATTGCCGAGATATGATAAATTCACTGTAATCGAAGAGAGATATTGGAATTTTGCGAATGATTAGGCACCTCCTAGATATGTCTGAAATATTATGTTTATGTATTCGATCATCAGTATTCACAATTTTCTATTCAGCGACACATTCTATGCGGATTCTTATATTATTATTTATAATATATAGCTTACATAAAATATCAGACATCTAGGACTGCATAAAAAATTAATTCGACAATTGATATTTCACTTCCTCATTGATTAATTATTAAAATAAATACAGAATAATTTGATTACAGATCTGGAAGGGCTAATGACTCTCTCATTTTGACGTCTGAAGGATTTTCAATTAAATAATTGGTGGTGTGAATGTAGCATTGAAAAATTCAATTGTCGGTTGATAGAGAAGAGCAGGTGCATCAATCGCGAACATGAAATCAATGTGATTGAATGCCTCCATCGGCACTTTGTACACCATCTCAGTGTTTGGTAAATCCTCTGCCAATTTTTCAACGTCTCTTTTATCGGAGAGCAAATCGTTATTCGCATAGAAAATTGCTACGGGAATTCTGGTGTTGTTTATATTATACTCCGGGGGCTCCGACTGTCCGTATTTCTCCTGATTTACTCTTGCGTCATTATAATCGAATTGGCGGAATTTTTCTAAAAGATAAATGAAAGATGAACGTACATGATTGCGTTAATTGATTTCAGGGTGCCTTAGAAACTCACTAGCTTTAATTTCTTGAGCAAAATGCATGAACTGCTTCACTGAACTTCCGGCTGGCAAATGCCCTAGGATAATTGGGACCAGCGTCTAGAAACAGGTGATTATTATTTTCTTAATAACATATAATAATCAGTTTCTCGAAAATCGATCGTCAGTATTTAGTCAGTAGTCGTCGGACTGGTAGTGAATTTACGTACTTGATTTATTTGTGCAGTGTCGTATCCGGTTATCATGAATAAACTATTACTACACACAACTTGGTACAAAGATCGCGCTTCACAGGTATCTCTCCCAATGTTTGTCAGTAATGCGTTGGTCGGTGCTAAATCGTAAACGTGGAAAAATTGCAGAGTACGCTGAAAATCATTTCAACGATTCATGAATTTCAATTCATTCCCAAAAATATTCCAAAAATCAGAGAACAACTCACAAAATATTTGAAAAAAGTCGATTTTTTACATTTTCCATAAATAATTTATGAATAATAAACCCATAAAAATTGGCATTCACTATCCCATTCTAGAAGAGTCCCCAAAAATTATGAGTATAATATAAGAAATAAAATAATGTTAATGATTAGTTGAGATTTATAAAGAATTGCAAAACAGATAAAATGGTAAATTAATAATTCTCACAATTGAGATAAACGCATGAGTGACTCACGTAAATAGGGGATGTGAGGCCAGCAGCAAATTTGAGAAAAGGACTCCGAATATTCGTCATGTAAACAATGGGAGCGTACGCTGCGAGTTTATATATTTTATTGTTGTACTCTGGTTTTTCCGACATCATTACAAAAAATGATGTTGTCCCCTGTGAATGTCCCAAGCAATAAATCTTCTCCTGCTTTGTCTCATCTAAAATGTAGTCTATGGTAGCAGGCAGATCATAGATTCCCATCTCATGGAAAGAAAACTCCCAGTATTCATGATTTGTTGTTAAAAGTTCTTCATGCCCACGTGAATACGTAGAGCCACGAGAATTTCCCATCCAGACGTCGTATCCCTTGTCAGCGAGAATGTACGCTAAAATCATTATTAAATGTAAACCCACTGTACAGACTATTCTTGAATCATGATTTACCGAGTCCTTTCGATGGTCCAGCGAGAACCCAAATAGCAGAACTCGCCAATATTCCATGTTGCAGTAAAACCACTGGTTTTCCAGGTTTCGCTGGATATTTTTTTCCTCCAGGTATTCGATGCAGTGCCAGCAAATATCCGTCCTCTGTTTTTACCCAATGAGTCTCCACAGAGTATCCGTATTTAGATATCAATTGTGGCTGCAATTGAAATACCGAGTTGTTGATAAATATTCATTGTCTGTACAGAGATCATGAGACTCACCGTATCGAGATACACATCAGGATGATTGAGCATTTTGGAAAAATCGTGGACCCTCAGCGTGGGTTTCACAGTGGAAACAATGCCCCACGCACTCATCACAGTATTCTGAAAATAAATCCCATTCAGAATAACATCAAAAACCCTCAATTTCGATTAAAATTCCTGCTAATCTATTTACTTGGAGTTTGCTCACGAATGGATTATCCACCATGTAATCCAATTTTTTTCCAATCCGCTCGACACTTTCCTGGACTCGATCATAACCACCTGTCATCATCAATTGTTCTCATTAATATTAGAGTTGTCATCACCATTTGATGTCTCCCACGAATTTCGCGCCACCCATATAGATTACATGGATTTCCCTACAGAATTAATTTTATACTTTCACTTATGTGTATTATGATTGATCTTACGTGACAGATAGCCCCAGCCTTTTCTAAACAATTTGCTGTACCATCTCTTGGCAGTCTTAACTCCCGGTATATTCTCCAGTAATTTCGAGAATTTTGAGGGCTCGTGACGATAACGCGCAGGAATCGCGAAGAATTGGACGGTACCATTGGAGGAACCCATCACCAATAATTCCGGTTGTTGAGTAGTTATCAGAATAAACTGGGCCACATTTTCAAATTTATCATTCTCCATCGTTTGGTTTCTATAAAAAAAACCCCAAAATAAAAAAACTCAAATACCACAAGCTACGAATAAATGAAAAATTTCCAAAATCACTTGACTCATCGTGATAATCTTATCATTCTAATCCCAGAAATTATTCTATTTTATTTTCGCATTCTCTCTCTCTGAGTAATAGCTATTTTTGAATGATTCAGTGTTTTATCGACGTAGTTCTACCGTACGATAAAAAATTCGCCCCAGTGCTGTAGTTACTGCTCCCCAGCCAGACATCATAGCCCTGATCAACCAGCAAGTACGCTAAAAATAAATACACGATAAAATTGCATTTTAAAAATCTCCCATGATATGAGAGAATACTGATTACTCTAAACTGATAAAGATAAATTATTCAAACTGTAATTTACTCCGTCAATTATGAAACACTAGACATCAATTTCATAGCGAAAGTTGAAAAAGTATTTATTGAAATTACCAACAGCAATCTGTGGTTTATTTGCGGTGCAGGAATAGACGTCACAGAGAATTCCGTGTTGTATCAATGCTGGACGTTTGTCCTCAGAAAAATCGGATCTTGGTCCTCTGAGGATTCTGTGGAGAACAGTCTCACCAAATTCCTCACCACTCTCAACATCAGCTTCCGAATCCGGCAACACCAACGGGAATACATAACGCTGCACCTCGTATTCAGGAAGAATTCCCAGTTGAAACTGAAATTCCACTTGCTAAAATTACGAGATCCACTCAAGATTATCCATCCTCGCCATCTTTCATTGAACTGGGCAATTGAATTAGGATTACCCCCCATGAACACTGATGATGTCACAATACCGATAAATTGTTTCAATACTCGATAAATTCGATAACAACTTTAAAACCCGAAGAACGTTTCAGCTATCTTCAAAAGCCCCTTACTAGGCGATGGGGCGATTTCGATTTATATCTCACGTGCTCAAGAAAGTAATTATTTTTATTCATATTTCATACACTATCTTTACCCGTAATTCCCACTGATAAATTTGACAAGTCCGTTACGAGAAGAAATGCGCGAGCACATAAAAATGATGTGTAATCAAATATATTCTGACTTTGTACTCAATATAAAAATTTTCTCGGTAGAAATTCCTGAAATAATTTTTATCAAAATATCAATGAGTCGATTAATGAGTGATTAATAAATATCACAGCAGATTTTCCCACAAATTTATCTACGTGCAAGTGCTCACCGAAGTTTTCCCGGGTGTATGTAAATAATCATTGCCCGTATTGATTTTTCCTCCAAAAGTCACAGCGATAGCGCAACTGGTCCATAAAACTGCTATCAACAACTTTTCCATGTTTTATGCACCGCAAATAGAGTAGTTTCTGCACTGACAGCTTGAGAATATTGACAGACCGGTTTTGACGATGAACTCTGGTCCAAAGCTGAATCACTTTGTCCACGTGACCTTATCGCTGCCCCTTTGATAAAATTATTCATCAGTACACACTACCGTAAAGTGCGTGATGCAAATCAATCAAGGTCGTTCTGCAATTTCCAGTTATTTCAATAGCATGTGCTGTGGATCATTTGCCAACGAACTTCTGAATGAGAGATGTGACTTGTTGATAGTTAGAACCCACAACTCTTCCCAACCCGTTATCACATCATTTATTTACTATTCTGGCGTCTTATTCTCCACGAATCGTCATGTTAGTGAGTCATTAACACCACAATAACATGTTTTTAACAGAAAAAGTCAAATATCCATCAAATTTTTTCCTTCGATTTTACTCGAAGGAGATTATTTCGATAAATATTCTTCGATATTTCAGCTTTAATATTAATTTTAATTTTAATTACTTCACTTATTTTATTTTCATTAATCAATTTTAATAGAATAAATTTAATTATCTTCAACTTCGGAAATGGTTTAAAAGAGCTATTAGCTTTGAATAGACATATCGGGGTGCATCTATACCCCAGAGATGATCCAAGTGTCCGAAATTAGGATTAGGTACTTTCAGCTCTGCGTAGACATTAGGTAATTGCGCTGTGAGTCGCCGCACATCCTGCAATGAGAAGTGGTTGAATGAACATTTAATATTTAATTTATTAATTACCTTAGGGTGTGCAAGCCAGTCGTTGAGACCATAAGAAATAATCACTGGGGTTGTAACTTTCGAGAGATCGTACGACGGGGGAGTCATCCTCTTGTAGATGATGTAATTTCGGAGAGCTCCGTGATCGTATTTCCGGAATTTATTGGACTTGAAGAGCTGACTGTAATGAATTAATTGACGACTGGAAGAACCCGCTGGTGTATGACCCAAAATTGCCGGGAGTAATGTCTGAAAATATAATTTATCGGAGTCCTATAATGAAATAAAAAATTATCGACGGAGAGAAAATTATTTCAGTGGAAATATACATTTACCCTATTCATTTGATCGCTTCCAAATCCAGCAATCAGGAACATTACGTTCAGACAAATATCTTGAGTCCAATTTTCTTCCTGACATGCAATTGTTGCCACTTTTTTTATTAAACCGTCTATCGGTTTAAATTCATACCAGCCAAGAACTTCCATCACATTCTACAATTCCGCAATTACAATTCCAAGTCCTTATTATTTAACAATTACAATATTTTCCAAAAAAATATATTACAAATGATGATTGTAACGGTTTGCTGAAATTTTTTATGTTAATGATGAGATTAAAAAATTGTTTTCAAGGTACCTACAGTTACAACTTTATCAATTCTCGTTAGAACTTGAAGGAAAGGGCTCCTCATGTGCTCGAGGTAAGCCACAGGTGCCATACCGAACATTGCAATGATTTTATCATTGTACTTGGGCTTTTCAGACGCCATGACAAAGTACGCTGTAGTCCCCTGACTGTGTGCCGCATAAAAAATCCTCTCATTACCGGTATTTCGAGTAATGTAATCTATCATTGCGGGTAGATCCTCAGTTCCCTGCTCATGCCAACTGAACATCCAATATTGTTTATCAATCGTTGAATATTTCTTGTGACCCCGAGAATAAGTATTTCCACGAGCATTTCCAAGCCACACGTCGTATCCCGCATCCGCCAACATAAATCCTAAAAACAAAATGTAGAAATAACTTACACTGAAAAAAATCAGTACTTTTTCCAATTTCCTTTTTTGCCAACTCCATTAATTAATTTACTAATCCACTAATTTCACGCGTTAATTAAATTAAAATGGAAAATTAAATTAAAATTGAAATTGTGAATCAATTTGTGAAACGGATTGTTGAAGTTAAATTTATTTAGCAGAGTTAAAAAAAAAGGTTTTGTGTTTTTCTCAGGGCAGTTGATTGATTAATTATCCAATATAATTACCCAATCCCTTCTTTGGTCCAGAGATTATCCAATCGACTGAGCTGCATAATAATCCATGCATTACAAAAATTACCGGTTTACCCTCTGCCTTGGGATTGGATTTTGGGCCAGTGATCCGATGCATTTCCAAGATGTACCCATCGTTGGTCGTAACTTTATGAGTCTCACCCCGATATCCATATTTCGATATAAGCTCTCGCTAAAAAAAATCTTACGATTACATTATAAATAAAAAAATACCATAACGATTGATCGAATATTTTTTCCACGCAAATTTTCCAAGACATTAAAATAATTTATAGAGAAAAATAAAAATGAAGTGAATTACAGCACTGAGATGGGCATCTTCATGATATTTGTAGCTATCATTCCCCAAGTGTGCAGATCCTAGAAGAGGACTATCTAATGCCCCCGTTTTTTCCAATCTCTGAAGAGATGATATCAGGACAAGGAGCCAAATCCTAGACACCGGAAGTGCCAGATCCATCTTCACAGAAAATATTTTCGTACTGATCTGCTGTAGCATGACACCTGTTCTTTATATTTGTGGGAAAATGTATTCCTATCGCTCCATAAGACTCGATTAGCCACCTGAACAGTTTTCTCATTCACATACCTGATAACACCGAAACACATTTCCCATTTTTCGTCAATGATTTTGTCCTGAATACGCTCTCAATCTGATTATCATTATTTGATGTACTCTTCATAGGGTTAATCACAATGCCATTGCGAATGGGGGAACATAAACAGATAGAAATGCAATGACCTGAGTTTTCGTGATAACAGGTTTTTCAAAGTTTTTTTTTTTATTCTCCTCACGTGATTCCCCGATATTCGTAGGGTGAAAAACATTCCGATACCAATACGGATGATTGATAATCTCAGAATTAATCATTGAATGGCATATCGCTCGTTATCTGCCTTTAAAAAGGTAAGGAGTTTCTCCGGGACTAAAACAAAGAAATAGATAAGGAGTCATTAATATTTTATTTTCTTTATTCCTCAACTAAATTGTGCAAACATTTGCTGGGAAAAGATTAATAACATCTGATTTCATATCGCAATTATGGGCAATCAGTTGACATTTTTTTCTATCGAAAAAAAATATATAATCGCCTTACCTTCAGGAGATATTCGGATTTTTGTTACGCCAGAGGTTTTTAATTTCAAATTTGGAATTTATTTGTTGATTGCTTCACGAGCTGTTGATAATCTTCAAAATCAATCGTCGAATGGCTTATCACTCCCATTTTTTTATTCGAAGTATAAAAACAAGAATTTATTTGACTGTTAAAAAAAATCTCTTCAAAAAAATGAAAATCTTAAAATTCTTCAGAATCCTCTATTTCGCTAATTAATCATGCTATTTCCTTGAAAAAATTATAATTGGGATTGAATAATTATAAAGATCGAATATATCATTCTATTCATTTTTTAGATGCCAGTGATTACAGGTGTAATGATTACGGACCCATTGTTATGATTATTATTAATTCGAATTATTTTCAGAATTAATTCAAGGCAGTAATAGATTCGATTGTAATTAAATACGATTATCTGATCTCCATGACGATCGACGCGCGCGAAACGCGCGACACATTCTCGTGGATGGAAAACAAACAGATAACAAGTGATTCAAGCCCCTTTTATTATTTTTCGTAGAAAAGTTAATCACAAAGAGATTAACGCGTCCCACATTGTAATCCATTGCACTTTATTAGACTTAATTACATTTACCTTATCCCGTCGGGGTTTTGCCGTTCGGCATATTTTTACGGGTTTTTCCCAATTGAGGAAATTTGCCCGATAAAATTAATGAAATTTCAACGCGCGCAACTGATAACCCAAAGTTTTCATTACTCAGGGCCATATCATGCGTAATCTGTAAATATTTTGATGCTTTAAAGATTTTTTAACGAAGGAATTATTCAAGTAAAAGATTACGAATTGTATGAATAACAAACAGGAAATTCCGATGTCTCATATTTTTACAAGATTAAAGAAAATTATTGAACAGAATTCGCTCGACACGACTAATAATCATTTATAATTATTTTGAAAAATTGGAGAATCTCATTCTGTCTAATCATATGGCGAACGAATTAAAAGTATAAAAATTGTTTATTATCCATTTAGTATATTCAATGTAATTTCCATTAGAGTACTATACAAGATAATAGCACATGGGTAAAGCCGCTGGGAATTCCATCAATCCTCAAGCTCGTGCTTTTCGTGCAGACGGTTCATCATCAGGATTGTTTTATTATAAAGAAGTCGATAGGCATCAACACCCCACATGTAGTCCAAATGAGCGAATTTGGGATTGGGAACTCTCAACCTCGAGTGGACATTAGGCAGCTGTTCCTCAAGTCGATCAACATCCTGAAATATCCATCGAATCAATTAATTCCAATCGACCACTAGGAAATAATCCTTCCGAAACATCATTCTACTCACTTTGACGTGCGAGAAAATATCGTTTAGAGAGTAATGAAGAACAACTGGAGCCGTTACTTTCGAGAGATCGTATTTTGGAGGTGAGAATTGCCCATATTTCTTCAGATTCTCCCAAATCCCATGATTGTATCTTGAGAATCCATCTGCAAACCGTCAATGATACCACATAAATGAATTACCGACATTTTAATCTCATAATTAGGGCGTACCTGATTTCATGAGTTGCGCGTAGTGAAGAAGTTGGCGGGCAGATGAGCCTGCAGGAACATGACCCAAAATAGCTGGCAATAATGTCTACAGAGGGGAATAATAAAACAATTATTACAAATCGAACAATTAAAAACTCTCAATATTATTCAGAGAAAGATAAACCAGTTGAATAATGTGAGGTGAATAAAATATACCTTATTCATCTGGTCAGTTCCATATCCCCCGATGAGGAACATAATATTTTCACAGAGTGGCTGTGTGGAAGCTTCTTCATCACACGCCATTGTCTTGACGCGATTCAGGAAATCATCAGTCGGTTTGAATTCGTAAGTTCCAAGAGCTTCCAGAGCGCCCTGAAAAGCCACAATGATTAATTCTGCCACATATTGACTCCCCAAAGATACTTACAACCAACAGATTATCAAACCGGCTGAGGATCCTGAAGAAAGGACTACTCATGTGCTTCATGTAGGTAACAGGTGCCATAGCAAACATCGCGTGAATCTTGTCGTTGTACTGTGGCTTTTCAGAGCACATGACAAAGAAAGATGTTGTCCCCTGGCTGTGTCCAATGTAGAAAATCTTGTCCTTCTTGGTGGTCTTCTGGACATAATCAATCATCGCTGGTAGGTCTTCAACTCCAATCTCATGCCAGCTGAACATCCAGAAATTCTTGTCCAACACCGAGTACTTCTTGTGCTTCCTGGAGTAACTATTCCCACGTGCATTCCCCAGCCATACGTCGTAGCCGTGATCAGCAAGCATATAAGCTGCCAGAAGAGGAGGATTAGTACCAGAAATCTCTCTGAATTATCTTGAACGTTTACTACCTACCGAATGCTTTCTCAGGTCCAGAAATGAGCCAGTCTACAGAACTTGAGAGTAGACCGTGCATGAGGAAAGCCACTGGTTTTCCGAATGGTCGTCCATTACCCTTTGGTCCAGTTATCCTGTGAAGCTCCAGGATGTGTCCATCACTGGTTTCCACCCTGTGTGTCTCACCTCGATATCCATATTTAGTGATTAGCTCTCTCTGAAAAATTTCTCACGATGAGTAAAAATAGTCAAGTCCAAGAAGAAGAGGTACTCACAGCCGTAAGATGTGCATCTTCATTATATTCCAAGTGACTTCTCGATTGCAGCTTGTCACCCCCAAGAGGTGCCTCCAATGGTACTCTAGCGGCACTGAGTCCAGTCAAAATAAAAATAATAAAAGTAATAGTAAACATTTCCTCGAATGTGCCACCTCGCGCCATAGTCATTGGAAATGTGCCAACTGATTTTGAGACCGGATCAACTTATTTATATAATTCATACCAACAGTATCAAATTGAATTGTCCTTAAGGTGAGATTAGCGAAACGTCCAATCAGCGCGAATCACCGGACTGTCCATCCCCACTGAATCATTGATAACGTCAAGATTGCAATACATGATTGATGCAGAAATAAAATTTTCGGTAGCACGCAAATTGATTTATCAAAACCGTCGGATTCTCTGACTAGTCCGTACTATCGAGGTACGTATAGAGATGACGTATTTTGTCAAAAAATAATTGGGACAATTAGAATGATAACATCTGATTTGTGGGTGAGGCTCCTAAATTTATTGATAAAGCAATCAATTAATCTAGAGATCGCGAGAAACGTGCGGCTGATAATGAATAATCAGCGAAAATAGTTGAGGATAATTACTAGAGATTATTCATTTAGTATTGCCAAAACGTTTGGAGAAAATGATTTCGGGAGTTCTTGTGTATTTCGGGTGATCGATACGACGAGTGGATTATTCAAATCTCATTATCTCGCTTATTGAGGGATCTTATCTGATTTCTATGAATGTAACTCATCCATCTTTGGATATCTATCGAGAATTATATCGGAATTTTGTGGGGATAAGTAGAAACACTTATTTTATTCCTGATCTAACACAAGCACTCGATATCTAATCATCCGCATCGTTAACATTTATGAAATCTCAAGAATTGCCGACAAGTGGCTGTTTGTCTTGCAGGATTTTATTATCGCCACCAATTTTCTCACTGATGAGCGATGATTAAAAATCAGACAATGACACAGAGATATCCTACTTGGCTTAAGTTTGTTAACAACGTTCTTAACATTCCATTACGACGAAAATAATCATTTATCACTGATTAAGACAGTGCGAGGCGAAAAATCACATAATCAGTATCAGCACGAGAATGTACTCGATGTTTTGATCTTGAGTGTTGATATTAAACTGTGAACCGCTGATTTCCCATGGAAAAATGTCATCTCTTCAATTCAATTTTTTCCAACGATTTCAATATTGTTCACTATGAATAATTCTTCTATTTCTTATTTTTACAATAAATCCGTGGAAAAAATGATAATGTGCGGACATGCTTTGGAATTTCGATGTGCTGACTAGATACAATTATTTGAACTCTGCGATGTGGGTTAAAATGAATCAATCATCGATATCGACTCAGCAATCGCAGGACAGGTTCGAAGAGCAATTGGGGCGCCGAATTACCCCAGAGGAAGTCGTAGTGATTGAATGTATTCGGTGCTTTGTAATCCATCACTACGTTTCGAAGTTTTGATCTCAAGCGACTCACATCCTGCAAACATTTCCCTGATTAATTAATTAATCAGATCATTGATAAATATCCTCCCAAAAAATACCGGAGCAATTCAATTTCAGACGTAATTTTTTTCCTACTCAATTTTCAAATGTTCAATTAATTAATTATTGTGTATAATATACTACTATTATGCATGTATATATTTTCTCTTCGTGGTGAATTGTTTATACGGGTAAATATAAATAAGATAAATTCTAAAATGAGTTTACCCACCTCTGGTGTTGCCAACCAGTCGTTATCGCTGCTGAAGAGAGCCACAGGAGCGGTGATTCGTTCGAGTTGATAATCAGGGGGTACCATCGAATTGTAAAGCCTCAAATTTTTTTGATTGTTATCGCCATAATCAAATGCCCTGAAGTGACCTTCAAGAAATTAGAGTTATTGTGAGGGCGCGTCTGTGGAACACCGGGGAAATAAGAGATGATATCATTACCTGGATTGATAAAGCCCTGACCGAAGTGTACAAACTGCTTCCACGATGCACCAGCTGGTACATGTCCTATGATCACTGTTAGATTCGCCATGTCCAATTCACCCTCGCTGAAACCAGCCACCAGGAAGAGGGTGTTGCTGCAGAGGAATCGAGTGGGTGCACCACCATGACAGATCAGGTTCGACACAAATTTTCCCCAGGGTGAACGTGAGCCGAACTCAGGGTAGCCGAATTTCTCACCCACCCACTGATTAAAATGAAAATCATGAGCACAATTTAATGTTTAATTTTCAATTTTGTGTAAATAATTTCCTTTGATAATTTCATTTGATTAATATTATCATACTGATCGTTCATGAAGATGTGTCACGGAATTGGTTTTATCGGTGGGGGAATCCCTGGAAAAGTTCAAGGTGACCGGAAGGAGAGAAATGGGAAACCAATAAGAAACTCATTGGTTTATGACCTACCACTCCAAAGTATGTCAGCTGTGCAAGTGTTGTAACAGGGCCCCGCAGATTGGTGGTGAAGGCTGCGGGTGCAAGGCCAACGGCCAACGAGATCTTGTCATTGTACTCCGGCCTCTCCGAGGTCATTACCCAAAACTGGGTTGTACCTTGCGAATGCCCAATGAACAGAATTTTTGATCTATGAAGTCTCTCCAGAACGTAATCCACCATCGCCGGTAGATCGTAAATCCCAAGCTCGTGATAGCTATACGTAAAGCCGATTTTTCTCTTAATTACCTCATGGACAATAGAACTATCGGAGTTGTTTTACCTGAAGTCCCAGAATGTTCTGTTACTCGGTGGAATAGTGCGATGATGACGGGAATAAATATTCCCACGATTATTTCCCAACCAGACGTCGTATCCCTCGTCTGCCAAGAGATAGGCTGTGGCAAAAAAAAAAAAATTATTGTAGACCTCCGTGAATTGTCAACAAAAATCGGTCAACCGACTCTAGGCGCTCGTAAACTACTGCATTTCGCAAAATCTGATAAACTCGGGAGAGTAATGATCGGGAGAGTAATGCTCAATCACCAATCCAATCGATTACGAAGATGGTACATTCTAATGTCAAATAATTGCGATTTAATCTCGGTATTAACATTTTTCTTTACGCACCTGGTGAATGTACATTCTGAAACTATAATTTCAGCTTCACCTTCAAGGATTCAATTTCGCATTCCCAATGAATATAAAATCGATTGCCACACACTATTTTCGAATACCAGATACGTCAAACCTGTTAAGTAGAACAGATGGTGTTACCAAGAGCCTTGTCAGGGCCAGTGAGGACCCAATCAGCCGAACTCCCACCTAATCCATGTTGAAGAAGAACTGCTGGACGATTTCTCCCAACTTTTCGTCGATCCTCCGATCTTCCGAATGGAATTCTGTGCATCTCCAGGATGTAACCGTCATCGGTAACGACTCTGTGAGACTCCAGGGGATATCCATACTTCGATGCCAAATCCGGCTGCAACAGATTTTTTTTTTACTCAACTCCTGACTGCCGGTTGAAATTACTCTAATTGTTAAATTAGAAATGTAAAAATCGGTTCTTATGATCTACACCAATTATCGTATATCGTTAAGTATCGTTTAAACTTCAGGCTCGAATGACTATATAAATCTCCAATCTGTACCGATCGCCCCCTTTCACCACTCCACAAACAAAATAAAAAACGAAATTACTGTCGCTAAATCGGTATCCGGATTCTTATCAAGTCCTCCAACGAAAATGGGAAGAGATCCCCAGAAGGAGCTGAAAGCAAACAGCCATAGTCCTCCGTTCGACATCATCATCACAAGGTGCAATAACTCTTGACAGACGTGCAGACACTGTCTTTTATAACATTCAACTGAGTACCAAAGTGGGCACGTGCACAACCACTTGTTCACCAGCACTTTTTCAATTGATTACCGTTCCCTCCATGTAACTAAGTGGCGTTTGCCCTCGACAGCACCCTTTTATGCATGTGCTACCGTGTGGGTTCAGCAACTGGAAAAAATCTCTCTCCTTTGGGTCTAAGTAAAAGTCAGACATACAAATGACTTCATCAAAGAGTCCAGTCCTGGTTGACAGTCTACCCTGATGACTCCATTAAATCTCATAACTCCAAGCCAATAACTCCTGGCAACATATTATTGTTATTCAAATATTCATGGGGTCAGGCACCCCTGGACTCCTAGACATGATCACTCCATGATTAAATTTTGAGTTAGAGAATCAAATATTTAATTAGTTAATCAATTTTTACAGCAGCCCGTGGGAGTTGTTTGGGCAGTGCATACGATTCACAGAAATGCCAAAAGCATTTGAAAAAATGGAGAATAGGGTACATTCACGCTATACGTGGAGACAATTGCGAAATTTTCAGGTGCAAGGAGGTCGGGGCTTCGAGCACTACAAGGTCGATTGCATCATGAAATATACAACAACTTCCAGCGATAACATTCAGACTTCTCCAACTTAACATGTGCCCGATCATTTTCACTGACCAATCTCCCCGGCTCTGGAATAGAAACTCCTTTTTTGCGGTTGTCAGAATCGTCTTGTTCTATTGTAATCATATCAGTCAAGGATTTTTTTTTCTATAAACAGGTGCATGCGGGTAATAAAAGTGGCAATCATGTATTAAATGCTAGTCCCATAAATAATTTAATGACGTGAGTATACGATGTGGCGATGATGGAAAAAAAATAACAAGATATTGTCGACGGATTGTTTTGAAATGAGCACAATGTATCGCGTATGAGAGAGCCAGTGGAAAAACTTGGGGCTTTTGGTGTTGTAGGTTTAGTACAGATTTTATTTACTTCTGACAATTATTTGACTGGCAAAAGTCTCTCGTTCTGGTGAAATTTTTTCTGCGGAAATTCTTGGGTGTGGATTTGTTAAGTGCTCTCAGGTGTTCCTTATTTCATTTGTTGTTACGAAATCTTGGAAAAAAGAAACATTTAACATTCGCGGTTTGAAGATTCTTGCAGAGAGAATTACGGCTCAATATTCTACAGAAAATATTACCCCATTGAATATATATTGACAAATTGTTTTATTTTACAATGCAGTAAAGGTATATTTCATTTTTAAGAACATATTATGAATGGAATCTTATTATTCTACTGTTTCTCGAATGCAAGTGTAATGTCAATAATCAATGTAATAACATATCGAGTTATTAATCGGAATTATCTACAGAGGTAGTTTGAGTATTAACAAGTTAATGGCACAGTCTGTATATTGGAATCTATGAAATATGATTAATACAAATTCTTCAGGCGTTGATAATATTTTGCGTCCCATTGAATGGGATGTTGTGGTCATTCAAAACGTTGAGTACGTCATTATACAAGAACTTTTCAGTTTCATTGAGGAAAAGAAAGTCGAGGTGACTGAATTTCGAGTGTTGAATTTCTCTCACTGTTGTTGTCAATAATTTATTTCTCACTGCATCAATATCCTGCAACAATAAACAACAATGAATGAATGCGCAAAGACAAACGCCTGAATATTCATAACATACGCATATGAATTGAATAATACGAACTGTTCTCGTAGTGAAAGGATCATTAGCCGCGTAATAGAGATAACACGGGGCAGATATTTTATCAAGTGGATACTCTGGAGGTTTCACACTCTGATACTTGAATAAATTCTCCTTCGGTCCAAAATCGAATTGCTGAAATTTTCCTGCAACAAAAAAAAAAATAAATAACCAGACACGTGCACAAAATGCGTCACGAATTACAAATTTTGCGTGGAATTATTTGGGTTGTGATGCCATTTTTTATTTTCAAATAAAAAAGGGGACTCTCAACTTTATTCCCAGTACTTCCTACGAGGACAATCATAATTGTACGTTTTGCACAGAGAAATTGGAACCCATCGATGTATTCCTGTCACGTCGAGGCTTTTCCTGAATCCCAAAACGTGCGCCAGCGGCAAAAAATTTCTCTGAACGCAATTTTCCACGCAAAAAGTCTCAAATAAAAAAGCCATTTACACACTAACCACTGATAGTTATTTGTCGATAATGCATGAATGTATCCACAGACGTGCCTTGGGGGTAATGATTCAGCAAACGTGGCAGCATGACCTGATAATCAAACAAAATAAGATAGTAATCATGCATCTTATAATTACTAAACCTGTATAACTGCGGGCTGCCTGGCTCTCTCCATCACCCTCAAAATTATTGACTTGCTACATAAATCACAATTAACGGCGGGAATCTCAGTTCACTAGAATTATTGCAATCCTCATTACCATTGACATTCCGCGCACTTGTGTAATTTCATCAGGTGAGAATGCACAATTATGAGAGATCAAAACGCATTATCCAGAGTGTATGTAACATTTGAAGGTGAAGAACATTTATTGGATAAGTCTCACCAGATCGAATGCCTCGAAGTTGGTTAATCCAGTGAGGTACTGCACCAGCCTCTGGCAGATTGATTGAGTACTTCTGCTCAGACATAATCTGGCGTAAGTGCTCATGTTGATAGAATTTCGGGAGAAGAGTTCGTGTCGGTTGAGCAATCGGAGGGCATCCTGTATCAAGATTAATCATTAATTCATTGACATCGAACAATCATTAATAAGAATTAGGGATAAACCTCGATTTGGTTTCCGTATCGAATTCCAACGGAGGCAAATAAACCCGGAAGATCGTGAGTGACGATCGCCACTGGTGCCCACAGCAGGACCACATTCACCTTCAAATTATACTCCGGTCGTTTCGATAAGAGAACCAGTTCCACTGTACCTCCCATTGAGTATCCCACCAGGGACACTTGGGATTGTCCAGTTATCGATAGAATGTAGTCGATCGTCGCTGCTGTGTCGTAAGTGCCGATTTCATGCCAACTGGAAGTGAAAAATTAATTCGATGATTCATATCCAATGAATTCAATAAAAAATTTTCAGGGACGCGATATACGACAGGCACGATAAAATCTGTCAAATAGACTTTACGAGTATTCTCCCGTTAGATTCGTCATCAAACCTGAATCTCCAAAATTGTGCGTTATCCGGGGACAGTCTCTCGTGACGTCTCGAGTAGAAATTTCCCCGGGCGTTGAAGACCCAGACATCGTAGCCCTCGTCGACCAGCATGAAAGCTGAAACATTAATTGATGATATTGCTCATTAAGTCAGGATTAATTCTGGTAAAATGCACCTGCATTCCCCGGAGATTTACCTAGATCTCGTCGTGATCCTCGAAGGACCCAAACGTCGGAGGCTCCAAGAAGCCCATGAAGCAGAAGGACCACAGGTTTTCCATTAGCTGCGGGTGACTTTGGACCACTTGGTATTCTATGTGCCGTCAGTATATACCCATCTTCCGTCGTGACGGCGTGTTCCTCGGCTTCATATCCGGCTTGAGACACTAATTCAATCTAAAATCAATCAATCCAAGAGCTTACTTCCTCCAATCAACTATTCCCCCTCGACACAACTTACGAATGTCTCTGCACTGCTGTTCACCAGGTCATTATCGGAAATCTGTGATTGCCTGTGATATCGCTGTGGATAAATGATACCACTTCTACTGTATTTTCTATTAAATCCGGTAAATCGCGAAGTAACGGATCCTATCCAGAGAATAGCCACCAGAACGAGGCAGCCTGTCGTACCATTCGGCATTTCGAAGTTAGATGAGTGTATACCATCAATAGTTAATGGTCACTGTTCACACCGACTATTTACATCACTTTTTTCTCCTACCCCTACCGGCCATGATCGGCCTTTACTCCTCTTCCTCGATTTCTTCCAGGCCGAATGTACCACCGGGATGATTTATTTCGTTGTCAACCTCGTACTCAACCTCGATGACTGCAACCAGTAAAACACACAACACATGAAATAAAGTATGAGAATTATTTCACGGGATTGTATAACTGGTGTATCTATTCAGGGCCGAGGTAAAGATTCATCCTTGATTTTTTTTCTCGGTGAATATCTTCCCTTTTTTTATTTATAGAAAACTTTTATTCTCAGGATGAATTTGTTTCTTCGGGTGGGGACAATTGATTGATGATAAGCGGTTTATGCGGAGAATTTCGAATTTTTACTTTTCCTATCTCTTCATCGTGGAAGACACGGCTGTTGTGATGGCCCCAGCGCTCCGTCAGGGTCTGACTGGGTGACCATTGTATACGGACTTGAAATGATGCCAGGCGCATACATAATGAGCCAAGTTAACTGGTTATAAGACGAGCGTGATGAAGGGAAGAGACCACTGGCATTCGTGGCATTTATATTATTTTAAATAGCTGAGAAATTGGGGAAGTCCCGTGGTCGGGTCAGGTCGGTGGTCGGGCCCTCGAATTTATGGATCTTCCAGAGAATTCCCGGTGAAGGAAATTCATGTTAGAATTCTTTCTTTTTTTCTTCTTGTTTACGTAAATGTGAGTCATGCGGTTAAATATTCACAACGGTTTCGCGGACGAGTTCAAATGCATTATTGAACATCCCGCGTTGGTGGACGGGTTTACACGGAAGTGTCTTCAATTGTATCTAATGTTTATTTAATGCAGTTTATTTAATCAATTGTAGTTATTCACGTCAGATAGTCTGTGCAATCGGTTGACTGAGCAAACTCGGGAATTTGTTGTTACACAATGGAGAGCTCGCCGTGTTTGAGGAGAAATTGATTGGTGTTTGTATTGCAAATGAGTAAGTGCGCAATTATTCATTTGAATTGGATAGATTTTGACGTTATCGACGGATCGCCGCGAATTCTTTGAATTTCTCTGGCGGCGCTGTTGGTGTCTCTACAACGCATGCGCGGGAACAGCTGCTTTCTTTCTCGACGTTTTGTCAAAGAAGCGACATGGTGCGTATCTTTTTATCCAAATATTAATCCGTATTTATCGGTGCAATCCCTCCTTTCTTTATCATCCATAGTGCAGATTTTGAATTATTTGTTATTAATGTTTGTGGTTATTATTTTCAGTCGGCTCACAAGACGTTCATCATCAAGCGAAAGCTTGCCAAAAAGCTGAAGCAAAACAGACCGATCCCACAATGGGTTAGGATGAGGACTGGAAACACAATCCGGTGAGTTTTATTTTTTAATCAATTAATTAACCCATTATTTGAAATAAAATCCAATAGCTCGGAATTAGTCGATCGGCAATTCACTGGTTTTCATTGAGATCTATGAGCAAATAGAAATTATTATTGTAAATTTTTGAGGTTACGTTAATATTTCAATTACAGTGAAAAATTGAGAATAATAACAACATGTGACTCAATATTTTTAGTATTATATGTTATCATTGGGTGTGAAATCATTTCGATACATGTAATCTCATGAATTTTGAGATCGGCTATTGATGTTTTATCCTCTAGATTGATGATTATGTATTTTATTTTTCAGATACAACGCGAAGAGGCGTCACTGGAGGAGAACCAAGTTGAAGCTGTAAGCTATCAACATCAACATGTATATTTCCACCGTGTGAGCTTGCTGGATCCAATAAAAATACAATAAACGAATATCCTTCTAAACATTTTATTTCATCCGAACCATCTTAAATTATCATTACAAAATATACCAGGATTACAATGTATTACCAATTTTACGGTATCGCATTCGCTCCAGATAATTATCGAGAAGCTCCTCTGGTGTTTTGGGATTTCTCATATAATAGTCTTTCGGAGGGACTCCTTCTTCGAGCCGAACATAATAATGTACATATCTGTACGTTATTCTACCAATTCGACTCTTAGCGTGTTTTCTGATTCCATGAACGACTTTTCCTTTCGTTGCGAAAGACTCGGCTGAAACGATTGATTATAAATACGGGAAGTGAAAAATGGAATTCCATCGCATCAGAATATACTCACCAACCCAGAGATTACTTTTGAATTCTACATTGTGCTCCTCAACAGCCATCCGCTGTGCCTCTAAAATCGTCTCTTTGGCAGCTACAGCTCCTTTTTTCAGACAGAAACTTAATTGTCTGACAGCTTCATCGACAGTCAATCCACGTACGAAAGACGCTATGTACCACATGGTTTTTGGACTGTATTTAATGTTGGCTTTGACATTACAAACGAACTGAAATAAAATAATAATGTTTACTTCATCAGTTGAAATTCTAAATGAAGAATAACATACAGCAGGTCTTCTCGGTTCTCCTGGTTCCTGAGGGGGGTAGACCTTCTTATTATAATCCATCCAGTGTTTAGGCCCCTCATAATCTCTCTCATGATCCTCTTCTTCAAAAAATCGAGAAGATGTCGTGTGAATAGTCGAAGCTGGAGTTATTGTTCTAACGAATGGAACATTGTTGCCATTAAATTTACAGGTAGACGTCAACGTCTGAATACACCTCCTCAGGCTCTGCATTTTTATCTTTCTCAAAAAAAAATATCCAATATAAACAAGAGATTAAAAATTCGGATGAATTCTATCTACAATTTCAAGTGATTGATTACTCGAGAATCAGTGGAATTTGAAATAGAACAATACTTTTGTTCCTAAATTTCTATTTTCCACAACTGTCGAACAATTTTTCACTGATTATTAATCGGTTATAAATAAATAAGAGTACCTCGCCTCAACACTGGCTCACGATAACCTAAAAAGTCGTTTCAATTCTCCAGAACTGCAGGACAGCGCCTCTAGAAAATACTCAAATTGAATTCCCAGTGAAATGTAGTTCCAGTACAAAAATAACCATTCGATGTGCAAATGTTAACAGAATAAAGGGGTCTGTCCCTTGTTTTTATCAATTCGCTGACTTCATACCGTTTTATTTAACGACCCATCAACGATTACCTCAATAAAACTCCAGTCATTCAATTTTTCCCATCACGTTGAGTATTCCTATTCCAAATAACTACATCTAGGTCATAAAAAATATAAAAATGTATTATGTTCAATTCGAATTTATTAAAAAAACATAATGCAAACCATGTTTTACATGAACATCGTATAGAAAAAATATAGACATTAGGTGATTAAATCGACGGTAATAATAATGAGATAATAATGTTTTTATTTTACACGGTCAAGTGATTTAGAAGTGGAAAAAGGTAGCGGGATTTAAAATAACTAAAGGGATTTAACAAAGAAACAAATCCAAACATTTTTTTTCCAACAAATTTCGTTCATCGATCTCCATTATTATTTGTTACTTTTCATTTAGTATTAAAAAATTTCATAGTACGCAAAAGTTCGTTTTAAAACAGCAGCAACATCCAGAATTCCACACATGGATTTAAGGGAGGGAGGATTTATCGTTTTGAAGATTTTTCTATGCATGACCTGGAATCGAAGACACACGATACGTGTGACGGTTAGATGACAATATTCTGATTTTCCTAAATTTTCTAGTTAATTTCTTACACTTTTCTGTTTTATTTTTGTAATGAAAAAAGATGTGGGAACCTGTTACATATTAAATTGTACATCTTCCTGGCAATTAACAAAAAGGATTACGACAGATCACGAGGGATCGTAAATTTTTTACTGCTGTTTACACTCAGTGGGCTCTATTGCCTGCGGTTTCCCACCTGATCTTGTCTCGTTCTTGCCCGAGGGCTCCTCCGAGTCTTCCGATTCTTCCGAGTCTTCGTCCTCATCACCCTCGTCGTCCTCGTACTCATCCCCTTCGTCCTCAAGGCCTTCACCTAATTAAAAAAAAATCATTTAACCGCTCAATTCATTCCTCAATTTCTACCACTAATTCTCCTGCAATTCCTCACTTATCTCCAGGTGTTCCCGGAGAATCGGTAATTTGAGAATATTTAAATTATAAATTCGATTATTGAATAGCTCTGAATTAAAAATACCTGTATAGTAAAGAACAGCGCGAGGGACAATTCTCTCTCTAATATAATGGCCAGTTTCAAAATCGCTGGTGAGAAGTGCCTGTATGTCCTCATCCATGTCAGCATCGCGATCATCTGGAACTATAAAAAATTATTGACGCATCTAGCTTTAGTTTTATGAAAAGAAAAAAGCCAAGCCCTCCACGTGTCGAGTGCTATTTTTACATATCAAGTGAGTTCAATTCATTAACAATCTCCAACGATATCCAACTGCCGGAAATCAGATGACGTAATTACCCAAAAATTCATGCCAACACAACTTACCAACTGGCGGTGAGAAGAAATTAAAGAAGGAATCGTTCTGCACAGTTTTAGTAACTGTGCGCATATGGCCCCTGGATTTGTGCTTCTGATTTTTCTTGATTGTTTTAACAGTAACATTCTTCCCCTTTTTCCAGTCAATGGTACAGCCCGTGCTCTTGTAAATCTCTGGCCCCTCAAAACTGAATGGATCATTCTTCTCAGGCACACATTTCATCAGATACTCCTTAGTGAGAACTGAATTCGAGAAGTATTCGTTTGAATCGAAGTGGAATTCCAGAATGAAACCCTGTTGATCATATGCAAAAACTCCAGTAAAATAAACAAATGTATGAAAATATACAACAATATTAACTCTCACTCTCTCGAGTCTCACTTACCATTGGATTGGTCTCCAAGAAAATAACTTTGATATCATAGAGATGTTTTAGAATAGGTTCATCATGCTCCTGAACCATTTCAGCAAGCATACCGACATTTTTGAATATAGTGAGCCAAAATTCGGGGATCCCCTTGACATTTTCATTCTCAGACTCATCCTTCTTCTCCTTGATCTCCTCAATCTTGACTTTATCCTTCAAGTCATTGGTGATGCCTTCCTCCTCCTCATCACTCTCCCAGACGCACTCCTCGTCAGTAGGTTCGTACAATCCTGCCACAATTCCACTCCTCGTCTCATAAAGATTCGATGACATCTTGTGGTACTTGCATTCAAGCGCATGCACCTCCTCGTAGAATTTCGCCTCGAGATTAACCGACAGTAGTTGCAGCTGCTTGAGGGCCTTGATCCTGCGTTGAACTGGAGCCGGTAGGTTCTGATGACAAATAATAATTCAGTGAATGCTAGAACAGTTAACCAATCAATAGAGAAAATTACCTCCATAGCAGAACCGACATTCAAACGATTCTGCAAAGCTGCCAAAAGTCCATGTCGATCCATTATTCGATTAGCAATCCTCTCGTCGTCATCCTCAACCGACTCCATGTCGCTGTCCTCTGCTCTCTCTGGATCTATCATGGCACTACTGACCATCAGATAACCCAGCGACAAACAACCAAGGAGAAAAGACACGCAGGAGAAAAACCAAAAAAAAAATAAAATAAATGACTTAGAAAACTCAAGAAGAAATAACAAAATAACCAAACGTAAATCAACACCGGTACGCTTGCAATTCAAACCGTTAAACGTCTATTGAAAAAAAAATGAGAGCAGGATAAGATGGGCCACATTTAATAGCCAATACCTCAAGATCGGTAGAGTGAAATCGACTGATTTTTCTCCAACGTGAATCGATTTTCTGAGACCTCAAAATCCGATCTGACAATAGAAATCGTTTCACTCGATCACAAAATACGACTCGAGATCCTCCATTTTACCTCACCTTCCCGAATATTCCCTCAGCCACGAAAAATTCAACTGTCATCCGAAACAAACAAAGCCACTGCCAATTTTTTTCAATTCCATCTGCCAACCGCCATGCCATCCCACAAGAGCAAAAGGTTATTGCCGATACATATAGTAATCACACCGGGGATTCAAGTCGGAACAAAGGCCCCAGAGATAATACCAAAAATCCATTACCTCCCATCTATCAAATTTTCTGTCCCCATAAAATCCCCTGAGATCAGTCCATCGCAATTAATAATTCCCCCGAATGCGTACAATTAAAGCTTCGCATAAAAAAAAGGCAATCTACGACTTGTTAACGCGACGTCTCCGGGCACATGGAGAACTGCCGAACGAGGAATCAATTGGGTTACACGCATTTGACCGTTAAAAAAAAAACATAACGACATATCCCAAAAGCCACATAATCCCCTAATCATGGAACTCGCAGACATTTCCCCGGATCATTAAAAACCCAGTAATTACGACTAATTGATTGTAAAATCGTACTCACCTTTTTCGAGTGGAATGAAGCCGGACACTACAGGCTGATGGCCGTGTTGAAGAGGGAAGGGGATGGAATATGCGCAGAGAGATGATCGAAAATCCAAGTGACTTCCGGTTTCCAAGTTCCCTCCAATAAAGGCTTGTGTCCACTGTTGTCCCTAGAAATCCCCTAGTCACCAAACACTGTGCGCACCACAGAGGATTGACCAAAGTAGAGGCTCAGTTCTGGGGGTTTGAGTGACCCCAGAGGCATCGTAGTAGCCAACCCCATAAGAGGGAGGGCGCCACACGCAACGCTGGAGTATCTGCTCGTTAGCCGACTTAGCGACTTTTCAGTAATATCCCTCCAGCTTCCCTTTTAATAACTCTGAGCTCTTCGATGCCTCAGATTCCACCGACTGGAATTTTTGACGCTGATTTCAAAGCCTCCGACTGCTGATTATTTGTGTTTCAACGAATTAACAGTTATTAAAAATATCTTCACAAATTTGTCAGTGATGTTTACTTCATTTACTTCAATAATAATTTAATATCGTACTTACCGTTTTGGGCGGAGATATAAAATACGACGTAAATTTAAGGCCCGGATGGATTATCTGGAAAATATAATTTACTCCGAAGTTTGGACTGCTAGTTACTCCGGAAATTAATCGTTTTTTTCCAATAATTGTTAGCTAGCACCGTAACGGTTGTCAACAACTAGAGCGCTAGCTAACAATTATCGGAAAAATCGATTAATCGGTGGAGTAATTAGGAGTGCCAATTTTGGAGTAAATCATCTTTTCCAGACAATCCAACCGGGCTTTAATTCCAATTTCAAAATGCGGCACTCCAGCGTAGTCAATCACTTGTTTATACACGCACTCGCGATTTATCTGATGGAGCCATATCTACTGGCATCTCGACATCATCTGATCAAGAGATAAAATCATCTCGAAAATTCAAACCCCCGAACCGACCGCGAAAAAATCCACGGAACGGATATGATATATCCGGCGGCGCTAGTTAATAAATAAATTTCACTCACCGGCGTTGGATGAAAATAAGTCCGCTTTCAATTTTCACCTTTCGAACGACCTACCTTAACTGTAAACATAAAAAAAAACAAATCGTTAATGAAATTTCGACAAAATAATTTTTTTACTGCAAAGGCGATTTTTAATTTTGATTTGAGAGTTTTTATTTTAAATTATTATTTAAAATTATTTTTTATTTTTTATTTTAATTTTTTTTATTTTATTGGAGAGTTAATTGAATAATTGAAAATTGTTTGTAATGTAAGCATTGAATATATCAAGAATCAGGAATGAAAAAAATGACATGAAAATAAAATGAAAATGATGCTTCAAGGTCATAAAAAAATGCATACGAAACTCACCTTGCAGTCGGTTGCAAGAAGCCCTCCAATCCTGAAGATCTCTCCATGTGATTCTGACGCCAAAGGTTGAAGTCGGCTTGGAAGCACCAACACTCGAGACAGTTCAAAAATTCACTAATCACTCACCACACAACCAAGAATGTTTTATCAACTCAAAATCCACAAAGATCAATAAAATAATATCAAAGATCAAATAATATTTTGAATCATTCAAAATAAAATGAATGAGAAAAGTAATCCTTCGAATCTAATTCGCACTCTCACTTCAGTCCGTATCTAAACACACACTAAACAATTCCGAGAAACGGACAAAGGAATTTTTGTAAACACAATGACGCCGAGCGGCCGTTCGGCAATACCGAAGTTCAGTGTAACAAACGAAAAATCTCAATCACTCAAAATGCTTTGATAAACCGTTTAAAAAATTATTTCACATCCCAAAATCACTTGCACTGAGTCCCGCACTTTGTATTTTCAATGTTCACAGGCAGCGCCGGTTTTCTGCACTCACTAGGACCCCGATGTTAACGGATTTTCACTACGCGACGCGAGACTGACCGTTCTACGCGCGGGTCGCGGAACGACTGACTCCCCACTGAAAATGGCAGGGCGTTGGAGACAGCGCTCGAGTGGGGGGTCCCCCGGCGATACTCCGCGCACGCGCACTGAACACCCCGCATGCGCACAGAACACAGAAGACCGCTCGAGTGGGGGGTCGCCAGCGATTTCTGGCGTTAACATTTGAATACCAGTCGAGTCGTTTGATTTTTTTTCTTTCAAATTGACATGAAAAAAATGAACAATGGGTATATGATTATTTCAATAAGAGACATTCTGACCCAGTATTGACTATTTTTTCATAAATCAAGTAATTAAAGTGAAACTCTTTCCACGTCACCCAAGAGGTAGAGTCCTTGACGCGTTTTTTTTTAACGTGGTATCCCCTGTAGGCCTAATCCACTAAGTCAATGAATGGGAAATTGTTATGATTTAAAAACCTGGAATCAAAAAAGAACCATGACATTTATTAATAATAAATAATAATGAATTAATAATAAATTCATCAATTTCTATGGATATTCTAGCTGCATTGTCGATGTGGAATCATCTCAGCAACACTGATTTGGGAGGAATACTGAACGATGATGGAAGATTCGAGGAAGTTGTCAATGACATAAAACAGGTGAATTATTTAATCGATGACAATAAATGGATAATAAGGCGGTTGTCTCATTATTTTCTTGTCTTATTATTAGAT